GGTGCATAGCCGGGGTTCGAACCTACGACCTCGGGATGAGTGTCGCACTGTTCATATTACAACTGTATTACAACTATTATCATTAACAGATATGTGTACATAACTCCACATTTCCAGAACTTTCAGAATTCTCCAGACATTCAAAACATTTGAAATAAACAATTTCTATCAATTCTTAAACTAGGCCAACGTGAATATATCCTTAATTTTACCGTATTAAATATTGATACATTTAAATCACAGTTACGCATATATGGAGTGGCCAACGCCCTTGCGGACATAGCTCATATGCTTTATCTAATACCTACATACGAAATAGTTAAACGTATAAAAGGTGCGTTGGTCCAACATTGAGCACACAGCATTCTTACGCCGATTCAACCATGCGTGCCTTCGTAAGTCATTTTATATATATAAATCATAGCAATTATATGTTATAGAGAATTGTATTAGATAAGTGAGCGTTCATAGCAGGGGTTATTCGGACTCCTGAATAGTTCCTGTCTTAGACCCAAATGCGTGAGTAAGGCACAGAAGGCTGATCAACTTCTATGGAATACGAGCCAAACGACTAGGAGAGTCATTTAGAAGGCTTACCACGGTTAATGGAAACCTACAATGTCTAGTGGGTAACGGATGTGTTGCCGGCCTTTAAAATAATGACATAATGAAAGAGACATACAGAAAAGGGAATATGATGACGTTGCAATTGGGGGTAGATTGCACCTATTATACTTATATTGTTCGTTTTCCCTAGAAAAGATCCTTTGGGAGGCTCCAACCAAAATCACTGTTGAATATTATCGTGTCCATTGAAAATCAAAATCTCTGCTTAATAGCATTGAATTAACCCAATAGTTTTAAGCTTAATAGCTTATTCGTCAATTTTAAACATTTTTTCAGGAGTTATACCGTCAATTGTTTCATTAAGGATAATTTCGCGCATAAAATAAATAGGTATTAAGAATCTTTACATTCAATAAAACGAATGTTATTTTAAATGCAATATAAAAGCAGTAGCAATACATTCGGATAAAATCGCGTGCACACTGTGATAATATGTACATTGGTCCTTTACGTGCACTGAATGTTTCAAAGATACGAGAACGAAAAATCGAACTTTTTTCATTCTACCCTGAAAATTACGATCTTGCCGAGTTGATCTTGTTTAAATATAGATTTATATATTTGGAATAACGTATATATATCTAGGAAGCTAATCTGAGTACATATATTTCGACATAATATAGTCTACATATAGGCAACATACGGTAAAATATATATTTCAGAATGCTTAGTTATTACAAGGCTGGGTGCGTGCATGACTCTCGTATGTCAAAAATCAATCCGTTTTTGACATTGACGTTTTGACGGTAACCTAAAGTTTCGACTCTTCTTATCCTAAGACGCCTTGTCTTCTTTGCCGTCGTTTTATTTATATACATATTTTTTTGTAGATTTTCTTTGCCCTCGTCGCGGTGGCTGTGGCCAAACCAACTCCTGGTTTCCTCTCAGGATATGGAGGATATGAAGGATTGGGCGGATATGGCGGATATGGCGGATATGGAGCTGTAAGTATATTAAAAAATCTATTGACAAATAATTACTGTTACCCAGTAGGAACATATGAACTCAACTTTAAATCCTATCCATATGGAAGTTTTATGACCGAGAAGGGTTTGATAAAGTCTGGCAGATATTGGTCATAATCTCGAAAATTTCTATTTAAGTATTAATTCTATATTATAAATTTAGTTTTATAAAATTCACAGCTGAGCCTCGGTCACGAGTCGGCCCTCACAATTGCCCAACCAGCAATCTCGGTTGCGCACGCGCCCGTCATCCAGGCCGCCCCCATCGTCCACGCTCCCGTAGCTGTCGCCCATGCACCAGCCACTAGCTACTCCTCCTTCCAGAGGGTAAGTCTAATATAATAGCCAGTTTAAACCTGACATAACACTTCTGTTTTATGAGCAAGTAGTAAGATTTTCCTTCTTCACCAAACGCATGAGGATCTCAATGTTATCCTCAATCTAAAGCTGTAAAATGGTTCTTTTCTTTCAGCATTCACTTTTTATCTTATTACACAATGGGTATTAAATACCCAAAAAAAATAAAAATCTTTTATTAAAACAGTTCTTTCTAGTAATAGGAGGTTAACATGTCAAAGTGTAATGTTTGGGTATGTTCAAACATAGCTCCGATCGTAATTAAGTGTTTTGATTCGCATCTTCAGCGCTTTGGAGGGTACTTGGAGACCCAAATTCCCTCAGTAAAATTTGTTGCTATAGAAGATCCTATGATGATCATAGACTCTTCTATTGATCTAGTTCTCCTACTGATTCTAGTTTACTTTTCCTACAGGTGATCCACCCATCAACTCACGCCGTTGTCCAGGCTGCTCCCGTTGTTCACGCTGCGCCAGTCGCTGTTGCCCAGCCCGTGATCCATGCCGCCCCAGCTTTGGCCCCAGCGGTCATTTCCCATGCCCCATTGGCCACATACGCGTCGTCCTACGGCCATGGTTGGGGTCATGGTTGGTGAAGGGTTAGAAGTAATTATAAATAATTATAAATGCGTTGAGATCATGCCCGTTCGGCGGGTGAATAAATATTTATATTCAATTATTTTTGTGTTTTATTTGTCTTACAATATTAATAGCTGTCCACGGTGACTTTTTCTTGAGGGTTTCATGAAGAACTCACTACGCACATGTTTGTCGTGGAGGTTTTAATCAACCTTTTTGATTTTTATAATAATAGCCACAGCTATTAATAAAAACCTTTATTAATAATTTAGTTTACTGATTTAGTTTATGTAAACTAAAGCACTGTTTTGTCTTTCGTACTGTAAGGTAAGTTTATCCTTTGGCAATGACATTAAATAGACATAAAATTTATTACTAACAAAAACACACACTCATAAACACACAAAATAACAATAATCAAGGAAAAAAATAAAATAATAAATTGAATGAGAATATAAAAAAATATAAAAAAATCCCTTTCCCATTCGGTTCGTTTCAAGTATGTAATGCAACATATGTCATTCTCAATAATCCTATTCGACTCCTGTGGTAGAACAAATCTATGAAAGACTCAACGCACCGATCTCCTAATAGCCTATGAAAAGAAAATAGATATTAGCTCCTTTTTTTTATTGTTGGAAAATCAACTTAAAAGACAACCGCGCCGAGGCAACTTTGAAAAGGGATTCGGGGAGTGGTGTCTGTGGGGTGCAATGGACCACCACCCACTAAAACCCAACAGTCCCATCTGCTCGATATGGACGGGAAACTAACCTTAACATTGTTAGGTTTGAAAAAAAAATTAAAAAATAATCCACAACGAAAAATTAAATATTTTTTGCGTTTTTTCAAACTAAATATTAGCCAAATCGATGAACGACAAAAAAAATTCGTCGCATTGATAAATTTGATTATACGTCGGTTATCAAAAGACGTAGTAGAAAGAACAAACAAATTAATAAGTATTTCAGTACATTTTAAACTGCCCATTCCCTTAATAAAAAAGGTTTTACAACATAAACTTCATAATAATTATACAATTTCAAAAAAACACTAAAACTGTGTAACGTAGGTATAATACACCACAGCCTAACTCTAACCTACAAATCATCGAAAATGTCACCTTATGCATGAATGAATATATTATTTGACATTTCCTATTGTTAGATCGATATCACAGCACATCACTACTCATCGCGTGTTCTAGTATACCCTACTGTCCTTTGACCTGGGTCTATAAAGACACCATGGCTTTATATTAATATGGATTTTCTACTAAGTATTTAAAATCTACACTGATTAATGTAAGGCTATATATAATTTTGTAAATTGCAATTTTAAGATTTTATATTTTCCCAAAAAAAACAAATTTATAAGTTTTTATTATTCATGGTTTGGAGACTATTTTGCATTTAAAACTAATCTTATGTACTCCTCATAAGTGTCCCTGTGGCTTTGAAGTAAATAGCCTTGGATACCATTGCCAAAAGAGTGCAGGTCGTTTTTCTCGCCATGCTGCGCTCAACGACATTATACGCCGCTCTTTTGCCTCCGTTAATGTTCCAGCAATTTGGGAGCCAACAGGCATCGCAAGAGACGATGGCAAGCGGCCGGATGGGATATCGTTGATCCCTTGAAAAATGGGACGGGTTCTAGTATAGGATGCTACTTGTGTGGACACGTTTGCCCCGTCTCAGCTCCCTAGGACAAGCAAAAAAGCCGCAGAGCAGGCGGACAATATTAAACGGCTCAGCCCTGCGATTCTGTAACTCACTTTTCGAACTCACACAGCGGTTTTCGCATTGGCGGTCGCTCTCAAATCAGTCGTGAAGCGGTCATTTTATGATTTGGTATTCTAATAAACAATAAACAGAATCGCAGGGCTGTTATAAATCTTTCCTCCAACTTCGAGTAGAGACTCTTGGGCAGAGGGGTTCAAGTGCACAGGCGCTTATTATAGATTTAAGTTGGCGCCCAGTAGATAGTCCCGGTGACCCCTCAGCTGGTGCTTTCCTCGCTCAACGAATAAGTATCGCAATACAGCAAGGAAATGCTGCCAACGTTAATGTTACACTGCTACAGGGTCCAAACTTTTTAAATTTGTTTTAATTTTCTTTTTATTCATTTTTAATTATTTTTATTAGTACTATGTAGGTTAAGAACATTGTAAATACTGTACATTTGATTGTTATTGTTACTAATATACACTAAATAATATTTTTTCTCATGTAAGTGGCATTTATGTTTTTAATGAGAATAAACTTAATACTAAATCTTTAAACCTAAGTATTTGTCCAACAAAATACAATATCATGGGCACAGTACTAATCGCGAATGAAAATACCGTAACCACAACAAGCTTTTAGTTACAAAAATACCATCAAACTGAAAACACTTCAGTAGCTATATATATTAATCCTACAAAAAAAATAAAAAAAGTACCTACACTAGAATTAATATTTCTATGTCACTTATGAGTGATAAAACGAATGCCTGGCAACACGAAGGTGATGGAATGGGACCATCAGTTACACGTAAGTAAGCGAACACTACGTGTAAGATATTCAACCAAAATTCAATACAAAAATAAATCAGCTAAAAAAACGCGTAATCATTTAAAAGGTTTTAGAAAATATGTTTACATTTTAGTCTTTTTTAATATCAAATACATCTTCTATAAATTTAGGACAAGGAGACGAGGCTTACTTTGGGTCGCTGCGTCAGCGGAGTGAGAGTCACTACAAAAATCTTTACTTCTAGAGGCTTCTACGTTCTTTAAAATGTTCATGCGCCCTAAGATATTTAAAATAAACTCAGAAGAATGCAAGTGCAGAAAGTGGGAATGAAGCATCATTCCCACTTTATGTTAAGTGAACTCACACTGCCAAAAACGCTCTTCTCTTAAGTCTTCTTAGTTTTGAAATACCTTAGCAGCTAATTCCACATAGCGGTGGGAGAAGAGTGCCTTAAAAATATATAATAGCAACACAAACTTCAGTGTTCTTTAGTAACAGGAACCAAACGTTTAGCAGTTCATATCATTGAGCACTGGTATATTTGGCTTATGAAGTGGTGGTTGCCTTCACACGTAAATGTAATTAAACCTGTAGTGGATTAATAGAAATAGGAGGTTGCTGATGGTATAATCATGATTAATCTATTTAAAAAGACTCTAAATTGTATTAGCTTGAATCGACCATTTTGGTGCCCAAATCCTATGAGGTCGGGTACCGCCAAACATTGTAAACGGTTAAGGCTAAAGGAAATAATATTTTCTAAAATTTCAACTTTTAATTGTTTATATAGCGGAATTGATTTGAAGTTTTATTATTAAATTGTCTCATGTGCAGGCACAGGTAGCGCCGTAATATCCACACCAACGTTGAAAAATGGGAGTGATATACGGGAATCTGGATACTTGATAGCTGTCGGTTCCAGGACTGCCAGGTGAAATTTAATTTGTAAAAAGATACGATATAAAAGATTTTCTCTTCTGGAACAAGTGATATTGCAGATAGCCGTTTGCTCTTTGCAGCCGAATATGTAGCACGTGTGCGAAACTTCGTAAATGTATGTCCACAAATTTCTCGTAAATTAAAAGGCACATCGTCCTTTATTTAATCAAATACGTTTCAACTTAGATAATTGTATAAGTTTCAACAAAAATACTAAAAACGATAGGTGCACCTAACCTATCGTTTTTAGTATTTCTGGTATGTTCCACTTCAATTAACAGGTATTTAATTAAATTACATAATAAATAATTTAATTAATCGTACTGTTTTAACTACAATATATCTCTTTCCATGATGGCGTACACACAATTTGGCAGAAAGAGACAAAGAATTTAATACAAATAATAATTTAGGTATTGGTATTATATGTTTTCAAGAAATGTTTTTCATTACAGATTCAGAAGAAAACACAAAAACAAAATGATGATTGCTTTTCTATTTATTTGTCTATTACTTCTACTATGCCTTTTTATAACAATGACTGTTTTATGTAAGTATTTAATGCTCAAACCTTTCTATTATCTATGATTAATTAGCGTCATTAACATAATATACAAATAAGAAAATCTGGAAAAAGCCGAAGCTGCGGAGGCTTGAAAAAATTGCCTGTGCTTTTGGTACGCAAGGGTGGAGGGGCTGCATTTCCCGTAGCTGTCCAAAAAATGTATTATTATTAGGTCCTTACATATGAAATTGGCGTTTTGTATGGGAGGAACAAAAAGTCGAATATTTTTAGATATAATATATTTAATTAATCAAAGTATGAACCATTGTTTTCTATGCACTTTTGCCATCTCATAGGTAGTTCATTGATCCCTTTACTAAAAAAAACAGTCGGACGGGAATCAATAAAATCTGTGAAGGCGATTTGGACTGCCCCATCAGAGTTAAATTTTTTCCCTTGCAAGAAGTTGTCCAAATTTCGAAAAAAAAATGGTAATCTGTTGGAGCAAGGTCCGGGGAGTACGGAGGATGTCTTTGACATTCCAATTGAAGCTCTTCTAATTTGGTAGCCGTCTGTTGTGCAGTGTATGGTCTAGCGTCGTCGTGAAGTAGCAGTGGAATGGAGAGATTGACCAGCCTAGGTTGTTTAGCCGCTAGCTTTTCCATCATGGTTTGCAATTGCTGACAATAGACATCAGCCGTAAAAGTCTGGCCAGATTTGAGAAAACTGCAATGAACAATACCGGCACTAGTCCACCAAACGCTTACAAGTAACTTTTTTGGGGTTAATTTTCGCTTGGGGCAGGATTTGGCTGGCTGGCCAGGATCCAACCATTGCACTGAGCGCTTCCGATTATCGTAAAGAATCCATTTTTCATCACAGGTAATAATTCGGTTTAAAATACCTTCATTATTTTGCCGGTTCAGTAATGTAACGCAGCAGTCGACGCGCGTTTGCCGGTTTGCTTCAGTCAATTCGTGAGGTACCCATCTTTCAAGCTTTTTAATCTTCCCAATTTGCTTCAAGTGAATTAAAACAGTTTTATCACTAACACCGCAGCCTGCAGCTAACTCGGACGTGGTTTGCGATGGATCCGCTTCTACAATAGCCTTCAATACTTCATTATCAACTTGGGTCTCAGGCCGTCCACGGGGCTTGTTCTGCAGGTCGAAATTTCCAGAACGAAAACGTTGGAACCAAAAACGAACTGTTTTTTCTTTTGCAACATGACCGCCATACACATCATTCACCCGAGTCGTTTCCGCAGCACTAGTGCCACGGCGGAACTCGTACTCGTAAATAATGCGATACTTTAAGTTTTCCATTTTGTAAAATGAGTGACGCAAACCGAAAAAAACAAATGAATGACGGTCATCGAAGCACAAATACATGAGTAAATAGCTGTTCGAATTTGAATTTGGAATTCCTTACCAAAGAGGAGAACATCGTGATTAAAGTGCCCAGTACGAAAAACGCCAATTTCATATGTAAGGACCTAATATTATTGTTCGGTTAGGTTAGGTAAGTATATTAATTTTTTTTTTTTAAATAACTGTTCAACTGAAACTGATCAACTATGATTGATTCTCAATTATTTTTAATATTAAAATCGAATACAAAAATCGATAATTTTTCACATCCCTATTAATTTTATAAACGCAAACATTATAACCCACAACCCATTTCGAATGTGGATTTTGCTAGAACAGTGTGTGAACAGCCTTATAGTGCAGAATATCCGTTAGAAATCCATTACTTAAAAAACGATTATTAACAATCGATTAATTAAAAAAAACGATTTGGCGGATTGTTTACAAATTTCAATACATTTCACAAAACTTTAATTTTTTTTTAAATACTTAGACGCGTTTCCGGCAGCAAAAATCACTTGGAGGTGTTCCAATGAAGGTCCCCTGAGACTCCTGCATAATTAGTATGATCAAATTCGCGCGACGAAATTTAAAACTATTACCGCAGTATGTGCCTGACACATACCGTGGACGGTTGTTAATGCATGCTGCATGCTGGTTTTTCAAGTTTTCCTTCAACGTACAAACTTTATATGCGCACATAGAAAAGTCCACAGCCGTGATTTGATCTCAAGATTGAAGTCGCACTTAAGCCATTAGGTGTACACTACTTAAATTCCTAAGGGATTCCTTTAAACACGTACTTCCAGTAGGTTTCAGACAGGTAGTCTATAGAATGCATATTGCATAAGTTAACTTTCTGACAGATGTCAAGCAAAAGCGCCACAGACCAGCAATAGTTTGCGAAAGTAAAGAATGTCTACGTTCAGCTGCCAATTTAGCATTGTCGATGGATAGAAGTGCTGATCCCTGCTATGATTTTTATCAGGTACCATTGATTATAGATTTAATAAAAGAGGAGCATCAATCGTTAGAAACACAGAAATGAGAAGTTAATAAGGGCCTTGTACAACCAGAAGGAGTACATACAACTCTTACAACCTATTATAATAGAAAAATAAAGATTTTTTGGGCATATTTAAAACCACGAACATGCATTGATCAAATGCAATATGTCAGCTTTCAAAAACTAAAATTATAATTTTGACTTGAAGACTATCTACTATCGTAAAATACGTGCCAAGACCTGAATATTGGCGCTTTGACGTTTTTATTTCCCACAAGCAAAATTTTATTTCACCATCTACAGAACAAACCTGATTTGATTAGTTAGTTAGAACTCTTTGCTTACCCCATATTGCGTAAGCCTTGACCTCAGTCAGACATATTTGACCATTAAAATCAATATTTGTCTAGAACCCTTAAAAAGCCTTTATTCACCCTTAAGATTTTGTGTCAGATCAAAAACCTTCAAAGGTGTGCCAGGCTGTGCAGTATATAGTTCGCTTCCCATCTACCTTAAAATTAAGATCGTTAAACTGATCCTTTTTAGTACGTGTGCGGAAACTGGGCTGAAGAGCACCCTCGACCAGACGCATACCACTCCTACGACTGGTTCCGAGACAAGCAAACCAAAGTGTACACAGTAGTACGAGACTTCCTAAGTAGAAATACCAGCCTTCAGCCAAAACCCGTGCAACAAGCTAAGGATCTTTATACATCTTGTATGGACACAGGTTGTTTTTATATATAGCGTTACTCCGATTTTTTATTCCGTAGAATTCTGAGATTTAATAAGTGTTGCTACAAAAAAAGTTCTCCAGCGAAAAAGGGACAAATTTGACCCATTTGAGGGCAATAAAAACTAAAATATTATATTTTTATGTTTTACCAAAAAAAAGGCATAATATTTATTACTCAAGTGACCTAATTTAAAATAACAAATATTTCAATATCACGATCAATATATCGAACTTTAATTACTTTATTTTATTCTTTAGCTGCCTACTAATTCCAGGTTTTTACTAAAACAAAATGTTATCTTAACTTGTGCGTTCTACTGTTTGTGATAAAAAGGGACGTAATTATCACTCGCCGTTAAACCACTTTTGATGTGGATAAAAAAAACATTTAATAAAATGTATACATTCACTAACAAATAAAACGTGTACCTATAGACTCAGATGTTCAGACTCGTATTGAAATTGAAAAATGTGCACGGCGTAAAAAGTTTGCATTTCTGATATCTCGAAAAATGATAGCTGTCTGAATTCTACGGAATTAAAAATCAGAGTATAGGGAGATACATTAACGTTGGCGTTAACGACTCGACTTTTAAATTCGGAGTAAACGACTGATATCTTAAAATAGTCTCTTACAAAATAACTATTTTTTACAGAAACCTTAGATAAACGCGGTCTGAAACCAATTATAGAAATATTGGAACAATTAGGGCTACCCTCATATCCGACCTTTTTGAACATAACGGAGGTCGATTACACTAATTTCACATTTGACTGGATCGAAAGCGTAATGCAAATAAAGACACAACTCAGTATGGATGTGCTCATAGGTTTCGATATCGTAACAGATCCAAAGAATTCATCAGTTTATAGACTTATAATGGGGTCTCCCGAAACCACGAATCCATTTCCAAGGTATGTTATTCAAATTCAATCAATCATTTAAATGTAAAGGTACCACATTGTACACTTATGAACGTCAATAAAGAAATACATATTAAATGCTTCTAATTTTACTGTCAGTTCTCATATCAAGGGCGTAGAATGGACGAGAAGATCTGGCAATAAACTCTCCGCCACTCTTTTTAATCGCCAAGTTTTTTGTTTTAGAAAATGTTTGAAAAAACGCTGCAACCAGTACACCATGTTCCCCATGACATCTTTAACTATAAGAATAAAAAATATATACAATATACATATATATATAAAAATATCTAAATGAGTTGCTCGTTGCTCAAACAATTGTTTTATGTTGTTTAACAACAAACTCAGCCCATAGTAGATCATAAATAATATAATAATGTAAAACAGGATTGTAAAGTAGGATTGGAGCATGTTTTTATTAGAAAGTCTTTTGTCTTTCAAAATTATAACACCTAATAAAACTTATTTATTTATTAACAGCCTAGAAAACCTAATATAAACTTTGTTTTGCTTCTGGCTTGTGGCAAACCCATTTTTCCTTCTTTTCATAAACTTTCTTTATACAAGCCTTTAGTTAGTTAAATTATTATTATAACCATTATTCCTCCGATACCGATATCATGTGTACTGAAGGTGTAATAATTTAAATAGACCTTGTCGCGTGTAAGTACTAGTAAGATAATATTCAAACAAACTGGGCTTTTTGCCAACGACCTAAGCAAGGCCGATTTATGGAGGGCTATGACCTTGGCGTTTACCACTGATATTAGTATGTAGGGAATAATATTTACATATTTAAAGAATATCAGGGACGTAGCACTGTTGTCTTTACTATAAAAAAAATATATACATATGTCTACAAGGAGCCATGTGTATTCGGTTTCACAAACATTCCCTGACTACTGGGATTCGATTTCCGATCAGCGCAAATATTATGTTACTAAAAGCTACTCAGACAGGAAATTGATAATTTGATCCACTACACTTTCGTAGGGTTTTAAATTAATTCAAATTTGGTTTAAAGATTAAATATTGGAGAGCGAGGACCTGCCAGAAATTATTATGAAACTGTACGTTCCGGAGAATAATGAGTTATTTTTGGTCTGTACTATGCTCGTAGAGTGTAGCGCCAGCAAGTTTTCCCACTTCTTGTAGCTTTATAGTTTTATCGACTCTTCAAAGGACAGCGACCTAGTGTAAAGCGTGTGGAGGTAGCATTCTGTGATTTAAAACCGTGCTTTAACTAGACTAACGGTTATTTTTTTAAATAATAACTCTTCTAAAATTTCAATAAAAAATTGGAATCAATTTGCTGTAAATAAATTAATTCTGTACATTGTTTCAATTCCAGCATGTTAAATGAAAACAAACGTAAACACAGATTTAAGAGGGAAAATATTATAGAAAGTAATTTAATAAACGCGAGACACGCACACAAAATCGATGAAGACCAAGAAGCAGAAGTATATAAAATGTTTTACGCACATCTTATAAAATTGTTCCTTCTTGAAGATGATGTAAAATCAAATTTTACTGAAGCGGAACTGGATCAACTTATTGTTCACACTGCTGATACATTTTATTCTATGAGTGTGGATATGTATGAGGTAATTACTAGAATTCAAGATTGGGTTCGAAAAAAGCAACACTTAGAAACAAAACTCTACAATCTGTAGCCAGGTTCCAAATTAACACATTTAGTAATTAGAATCGGATGGAAGAGAGCGTTAGGATACGATATTACAATTTTCACCTCAGTTTAACCTTTACGCGTTTTAAATTTTAATTCCCTAGAATTATACCTCAGTATCGTAACACCCATGTTATTTAGTTTTTTCGTTGTAATCATTAATTCAATATTTTTTCAGCTTGAATCAGATAACAGTACAGATGTAGAGGAATTATATCTACATATTCCTGACTATACCGTTGATGATGTTCAAAAATATACAGACTCTATAGTCGAAATGAATAACGGAACGTCTTTACCAATTTGGAGGAGGTATATCGAAGGAGTATTTGATATAAGTGATGTTAAACTAGATTTTGGGAACGAGAAAATATTGATATCAGAACCGGATTTAAAATATATGTCTCTTATGGCTGCATACCTTTCGAAAATGCCTCCCGTTCTGATTGAACTCTTCGTTTGGATGAAGGTAATTAAAATTATAGGATTTACGATAATCATAGCTATAAAATGATCTTCCGTCTTCTTGACCTTCCTTCGGCAGACGACTTCTACTTCAGTGTTTGTGTTTTTTTTAAATTGAATTGAAAATACATGCGAATCACTTTTTCTTCAAAAACAATTTCAATTTTGCCAGAAGAATATAAATCAATCTCTTAGGTCATTAAAGATATTATAATTCTTTATTCTACATGAATGAAATACAAAAAAACATAGCAATTTTTAACACAAATAGTTACGACACCTTTATACGGAAATAATATTTGCAGGTCGTAGAAGTAATGGCAGTGCACACTAGCTCAGAGCTTCGAGCTTTATATGAACGAGCTTCCGAAGAGCTTCAGTCTGGACACATGACATTGTCACGCAGCCTCCACTGCGCAAACGCTGTTAACGACTTGCTTGGGATGGCAGTTTCTTATGCGATTGTTAATCAGAATTTTTTTAACAATACTAAACCAAAGGTAACTTGAAATATAGTATGTTTTTATATTTACGAATTCTACGAAGGGTGATAATGTAAACGAGACACTAAATGATGACGTTGCGTTTGATAGAGTTTGCGCAGCCTATTTGAACTTACGCACATATGCACAATACTATTGAATTGTTTTAATGTAACAAGTAATTGTTTTTATGATTAAGAATTAAAATAAGCGCCGTAGTTATGCTAGAAAATTAAAGATAAATATATAGAAGAAGCTATCATTTGTTCAAAAACATTTAGAAAGGCTTTAAAAAACTTGGCAAAACAATAACTTGTATGATTTAATCAACCAGACAAGACTTAATTTCTCATATGTATTTCCAGATTGAAACAATGTTAAACGAGTTAAAAAATGCCCTAGCGCATTTAGTCGGAGTTGCCAAATGGATGGATGATGATACTAAACTGGCAACATATAAAAAGATAGTTGAAATGAAAACCCTTGTAGGTTTCCCGGATTGGTTACTTGAAGATGGACGTTTAGAAGAATACTACAAAGGGATTGATGTGAACACGAAACATTACTTAGAAAATCTAGTAAATATTGTTCAATGTAAACTGAAGAATGCTTTAAATAAATTTCGTATCGGAAATAATTACACGTGGGCAACTGATCCAACAGAAGTGAACGCGTACCATACCTATCAAGAAAATACTATAAGTAAGTTTCTATAACTACAGAATATTTAATTGTTTTATTCAAATAATGATATACTTAAGTTAACGTAACATATGTTGCATCAAATTAGGTGCGCTCTTAATAGGCGAGATAAGCGTGAGACTCTGATGTCTACTTTCTTTCTATGTGCGTGAATACCCGCTCGTACAGTGGTCAGTGAGGAAAGCGGCATTTCTTAGACCTAAGAATCGACGGGGTATGTCAGGCCCAGAAGGCTGAACTCCTGATATTAAAAAAAAATATATCACAAAACCTGGTTACGCTATACATTGAAATGTATTCTTAAATCTAATGATGAAAAAAAATAGATCGTCCATAGCATCACAAATAAGTAATTAGTGACATTCTGATGACAAAGAGATATAATGATTGGACTGTAGTTAACCGACGATGGGTATTAATTCAAGTAATAAATAGGTGATCAAAAAGTGTCTCAAAATATAGTCTGGACAAAAATATGACACTTCAAGTTAAAGCCGTAATTAATTAAGATTTTCTTAATCCGGACGCAGCTGTGCCTTTGGTGATGTTGCAATATCCTTTCTTCGATTTAGGGCTTGAGTATGTATATATATATAGATTTTTTTAGACACATAGCCATCTAGGTGCTATAATACAAGAAATTCCTTTACAAACACTTTGGCAAACTGTTGAATGATTTTATTAAATTTCATATATAAAGTTATAAATATAAATATGTTTTTATTAGCTTCTTCTGTTTTGTCTTGGTAACATTGTTGCCGTCCAAAAATGTCTAGGAGCGTAAATCAGAGATTAGAATTAATTCTTGTAATCAATACTTCCTAAACTTAATTAATTTATTAATATACTATTAATTATTAATATTATTATTTTTAAGGAATTTTATAATGTTCTGATTGATCTCGAATTTTGCAGCTCCTTAAACTATGGCTCCTTAGGTGCTGTTCTAGGACACGAAATAACTCATGGATTTGACAACTTTGGTAAGAAATCCTTAAAGAAAAGAGTGTACCAATTCTTGAAAAACCGGTAACGCACTTGCGAGCCCTCTGGCGTGTCCATGGGGTCCCTTTCCCCCTGTTATATAAAAGAAATAACATTGTTATTTATTATTTTAAATTACTTAGATTAACTCTAAATTTGTCTATTTATCTACGAGCTGTCAAAATTTAAATCCCAAAAATCACTCTAATAAACCACAAGCCCATGAACAAAAAAATAAGTAAAATAATGATTGATGTAATATTTAACACAATACACAAGTAGACCTTAAATATATTACTACGCTAAACAAATTAATTACTTTATATTTTTATTAAAAAAAATTTATTGGTTAAAAAGTAGTTTGGAGTTGAAATTATTTTCTCTATCAGATTATATTAATATGTTTAATAGTAGAGATTTTGAATAGTATTATTACATTTTATATGGCTTTATAGATGATTGAAAAGGTTTTTCTATAACCATACCAAAACGATCTGTAATCATACCGAAACCACACTACGCGAAATATACAAACAATGTTTCTGAATACGATTTTGTTTACTTGGTTTGACTTCGACCGTATTATTTCTCTCTTTCGCTCTCGCTGTGCACCAACCATTGTCCCAATACTTTAAATGCTTACTGATGTAGTCAAAAACCTCGAACACGTTGACCTGTGTCTGGTATAGAAGGGTAATCATCTACATATCAAGAAAACAAATACATCTGCCTTTCGATTCTGTAACTCACTTTTCGAACTCTCACAGCGGTTTTTGCAGCGGCGGTCGTGCTCAAATCAGTCGTAAAGCAGTCATTTTACGATTTGGCATTCTGATTAACAATAAACTACAAGCTCCCTCCTTATCAGTCCCTACAATTCATTGCTGACAATTTGTTAATTACACCTTAATAATTTACGCGTACTCTAGGTCGCCAATTTGATAAAAACGGTAACCTGATACCATGGTGGTCGAATGACACAATTAGATCATTTGTCAACATGACACAGTGCTTCGTGGATCAGTATTCTTCATTCTACATTCCTCAAATTGGGAAACATGTAAGTACGAGTAATATAACTTTAATATAGATATAGACTTTGTTTTCACTTGCACTTGTCTTTTTTATATTATTTTCCCTTATATTAAGGCGCTTAAATAAAGAATAAATCAGTGGTTTTTAGGTCAGGGCCTCAGATTTCTGTATCTGTTTCATGATCATTCAATGTAATAGGCAAATAGCTGTTGATCGGTCTCCTTTGCCTGACACACGCCGTCGACTATTAGGGTTTGGGCAACCTAGTGGTGTTTTCCTTCACCGTTCAAGGGAATAATAAATGTGCACATAAAATTCCATTGGTGCACAGCCTGGGATCGTACCTACGATCTCAGGGATGAGAGTCGCACGTTAAAGCCACTAAGCCCTCTTTATCTACACAATTCGATTTTCTTATGTCCAAGTTATTACTTGCGTAATTAATGAAACAAAGCAATTAAAAAACTAATACAATTTCCATAAATTGTATTCGTTTTTACAACAAACTCCCATAGGAAATTAAAGACTTATCACTAAATAAATTCAAAGCCCTCGTTAAACGTTAATTAATCAATTAAGCTTTTTATAAATTTAACGAATATTTAAAAGATCCTAATCTTTGGGATTGATTTGCTCCAGTTCAAACAATTTGTATGACTTTAAACTTAGGGATTAAAAAGGGTGGCGGAGAGTTTCTTGCCAGTTCTTCTTGCCCGCTCTGCGCCCTTGACTTGCGAACTGGTAGTAAATGTAAAATTAGAATAAATTTATCTTATTTTCTGACGTTCATAAGTGTACTTATTTATCTATATGAATAAAAATATTTTGAGTTTGAGTTTGGCAACCCTATGTGAGAGTAGGTAAGGCACAAATGTCCAAAATAATTTTCTTTAGGTGAAGGGGAAATTACCCCTAAGATTTCCTTCAGGGATCAAAACTTTTTCCAGCTTCCAGCCATTTTTATCTTCGAATGTTAATTGTTTTTCAATGAAATATAAATGAATATAGAAATAAATAAATGTATAAATAGTGAAGGTGTTAGGTGCAGAAAAAGACATAAATTACATTTAAATTTATGTTCTGTGAGTTTAATAAATGTACTCTGAAAATTATTGTAATCTCGTTGAGATTAAATATCTATAAACCTTTTGATTGAAAACAATATGGTTATGGTATATTTCAGGTCGATGGTAAAAAGACACTCGGCGAGAATATAGCAGATAACGGTGGCGTGAAAGAGGCGTATGCAGCTTTAAAAGCACATTTGAGAAAAACCAGCCCCGAATTAAAACTACCTGGATTTGAATATTTCACTTCAGAGCAACTCTTCTTCCTGTCCTATGGCAATGTAAGTAAAACTTAGCTAACTAAGTGAGCCCAGCATCAACTTAGTGAGAGTGAAATGAAAGTGTGAAAGTGTGACTAGTATTGAAACATTTAAATTTCTGTCTTTTTACACGCTTTATATTAGCTTCACCTGTATGCATGTAACCGACTCCTTCGGACTCGATTTTGACCCACTTTAAACGGACAGATTTAATTCAAACTTTGTACACTTATAAAGAATCAGCGACAATATAATAATTTCATAGGTTTATCTCGAAAAAACAATGAAATTTTTTTTAAGTCCACAAAGCAATACGATTAAATTGAGACAACACGTATTGCTGCTAGGACTAAAAGTGGAAAATAAATATAGTTAAAAAAACAAAAACACGCTTTTAAAGCCCACTAAGTGAAAAATAATTCCTAATTTAGGCTGAAAATGGTAATGAACAAAAAATACTGGTATTATTGTGAAAAAGCGTGGGGCGCTCTGTGCCATATTTTTCGTCTATCGAGCATTTATTGATTATTTAAAGTCAATAACTTTTAAATGCGTAGACAACTTTTATTGCCTTCCAAAGTTCGTTCTTTTTCCTGAAAGTTATTAACTGCATAGTGTATATATTTTTAACAGCTCTGGTGCGGAGTAACTACAATAGAAGCTTTAAAAGCAGACATGGAAGATGAGCATGCGCCGCAGCATTTACGCGCCCGAGGAGCTTTACAGAACAACCCAGATTTTGCCAAGACATTTCATTGTCCCCCTGGCTCTCCGATGAATCCTAACAAACGATGTATCATCTTTTAGTCCTAATATCCAATACAAAGTACAAGATCGACAATAATAACAATATTAATGCTTACTGTTTTTAATGCCGTGTGTTTCATAAAATAATACAATTAAAAGCTTTAAATTTATTTATTTACGATAATAAAGTGCATTTATAAGGTACATACTTTACATGAACTTATTATTTGACAAGATTCTATAATACAATATTTAATAAATATATAACAATTTCAATCCGTATTTTTGTGTATATTCTGACTTATTATCTAGTGTATGGAATGGCCGATGGTTGAGTAAGAGTGGCCGAGGCCAGTACTGCCCAGACTGCCGTAAGATCCGTATGAGCTGGCGTATGTTCCGATTCCGGAGCCGTAACCACTGCTAAGGCCCAAGCCGGAGCTGTAACCACCGCCAAGCCCCAAGCCGGAGCTGTAACCACCGCTAAGACCCAAGCCGGAGCTGTAACCACCGCTAACCCCCAAGCCGGAGCTGTAACCACCGCTAACCCCCAAGCCGGAGCCGTAACCACCGCTAAGGCCCAAGCCGGAACCTACAGATATGCCTTGTCCGATACCAGTGCCAAGCGAGACACCACTTGAAACTGGGACGGCAACTTGGGTTTGTACCGCTACGGGTCTGTCAACGACGACTGGGTGTGGTACTGCCACAGGTCTGTCAACAACAACGGGGTGTGGGACCGGTACGGGCCTGTCAACTTGAACTGGCACTGGGACGCTCACTGGGCGGTCGACGTGGACTGGGTATGGTACTGGCACTTGACGGTTAATGTAGACTGGACGGTCCACAGGCACTTGCTTCTCAACCGTGACCGGGTATGGAACGGGCACAGAAACTGGTACCTTTACTGGGTATGGGACCTTCCTCTCGTAGTAAACTGGCACCTGTCTGGTGATCTCAACTGGCACTTTGTGGATGACTGGAACTGGCCTGTCGACTGGTACAGGCACTGAGACTCTGTACGGAACTGGCACTGGTCGGTCCACAGGTACTTGTACGGGTACTTGGACTGGAACTTGTACGTTATGGGTGATGGTCCTCGTGATGTATCGGGGGACTTCCTGGCGAAGAATAACAGGGTTTGGCTGCACTGAGACTGATGATTGAACGGCTGGGGCGGGGGCGACTGCAACTGCGGGGCCGGCTGCCACGGCCACAGCTGGGCCAGCAGAGATTGCTCCTCCTCCAACAGCTATGCCTGAGCCGCCCAAGGCAAGACCACTTCCAATACCTGAACATTAAAATAAGTTAACACGTGTCAACTATAAACACGTATATATATTAAGATTCACGTAAAATATATATCTTTTTCAAGATTATGTTGAAATTTGAAATGCTAGAAAAGGTAATAATTAAGTTAAATACTTCTATGTCTATGTCTGGTACTTTAATAGTGTTTTCAGATCATATATTTTTTATTACAATAATGTTGTTTATACATACCACTTCCGACAGAAATCCCACTGCCGATACCGATTCCACTACCGATACCGATTCCACTACCGATACCGATTCCATTACCGATGCCGATTCCACTGCCGATGCCCACTCCACTGCCTATTCCACTGCCGATTCCAATACCGCCACCGTAGCCTAATCCACCACCATAACCGAATCCTTGAGAAATGCCGCTTGAAATATATCCGTGTCCACCGGAAATGATTCCTCTTTTAACTGGTTTACCGGATGGTCCATCTTTGATTCCATTTTCTAAAAGCTCAGATACTTTTGCTTTCTGTTCTATTTCCTTACTCAGTACTAGAGTGCTCCCGAGAAGGAGTACCTGGAACAGCAAATGACTTCTTAAGATACTATTTTTATAATGAAATCAAAGTCCAGTATACTTGGGCTAATCAATAAAAGTCGGAATCTATTTATAAGCAAGTAATATTATGCAGTATTATAGATCAATGTCTACCAGCTAAGACTACCGTAGGTCAAGGTGAAGTCCAAGCCTCATATGGACGCATAGTTTCTAATCAATAATGGTATTGGTATTCAAAAAAATAAATTCTAAGAGTTACTTAGAAAAAGGTTTCACCTTCAATGTTCCATTGTTTTTTAGTTCTCTTGATCAAAATGTTTAAGTCACGCGTATCAAATAACTGTTTATAAAGATAATTTATTATATTAAAACACAAAAGGGGAGAAAATGTAAAAGGCTCAAAGAATCCTTTATTAGGAGACTTTTAAATAATATACCTTAATATACATTAAGGTATATTATTTTTAGGTATTGATATACACCAATAAAGCAAAACGCAACATCAATGTTTAATTTTCAGTTTGATAATATCAAAACTGTATCGTGTTTCTATGGAAGCACTTCTATTTTAAAGCCGTATTTTATCACATTACTTTAATAGTAACCGCATGCAGTAAAAACTATTTAATCGCTAAGTTATCTCCTATATAGTTACCTCAGGAATCTAGAACACACGGAACCTCGTAAATCTCGACCCGGGGGGGTCTAGGCATGTCACACAGAATTGTGTAATTGTAAAAGAACGTAATACTGTGAACTACTGTCTCTAAAAGCCGCATTTGTTTCTTATTTGAAATGTGTTAGTAACTGAAATTATTGAATCTTGCTCGTTCAAGTCTCAACGAATAAGTATCGCATTCAGCGAGGAAATGCTGCCAGCGTTAAAAGCGAAGGGACCAAACTTTTTAAATTTGTTTCAATTTTCTTTTTTATAATTTTTAGAAAATTCTAAATACTGTATATTTTATTGTTATGATTACTAATAAACACGTTGTATTTTGTATATATTATATAGCGTATTGTGTGGTACTTACTAAATAATACTTCACTACTTTCAAGCCGATATTTTACTTGGAAATGAGAGCAAGATTTTAGATACGAGGAATCGCACACACACACTACGCTAACAGTTTCTTCCACCTCAGTCTGTGTGCTTGTTTCCTTTCCGATGCATTTTTGAGAAGTGCGCCATTTTGCTTTTTGTACATTTACAAAAAAATATCACATACATGTTTAAAACCATGGGTCCGAAGAAGATGTCTATTGAATTAAAGCGTGAAATCATTTTATAATTCTAAAACGACTGAGGTGGTGTTTGGGTGCTGGAACGGATTAATTGCATTTCAATGGGAAAAATTGATTTAACATCCAAAGTTACGGAACGAATTAAACTCGATGTCGAGGTACCACTGGATATATAATAGTTATCATACATACATACAAGTGTATATATGAGACCGTTTGACCGGCCCAGCAAGTAACAATTTATTGATCGCGTTTGTTTATTTTCAATATGACACATTAAGGGCAATAGGATATAATTTAGAATAGGCGAACGAAATTGCGTACGTAACGAGTTTTAAGAACATATAACCTAAATGAAGAAATGAATTAAATCATTATAAACTGTGGCGCTACAACCCTCAGATTTCTATCTATTTCCATAATAATTTTTCTTTCTAGGAGAGCCTTTTCTGTCTGAGATACCGTCGACTTACATTAGGCATATTTTTTACTAAAGTTTTCTCGCGGCTCTTCCCTTCCTATTTAATTATGCAAATAGAAATAATCTCCTGTTGCACACCTGCGATTTAAATTTACGACGTTGCACAGGTAACGGAAAACATATTAACTAAATATTAGAATTTATCAATTGAACACGCGCAAAAAGATTTCTATTTAATAGGTAGCAGCGGTCTGTAACTTCCATTAGTCGGAACGATTCTAATGGTGTGACATGTGATTGGTTAAGTCTGTCAAAATCTTATCTTTTCTCAAGCCTTTTTTCGTAGGCCGCTGAGGTCCAATAATTCAAATAAGTAATTTTCTACACCATTAAAACACTCGATTATATCCATGATACTATAATATAGTTCATGTTACGAAAATTTCTCATGAAGAAATAGCCTATTTATTTTCTAAAACTTGCAATATAATGTTTGGTAAACAGTGAAGTAATAAAAATAAATCTGACACATTTGTATTACTTGCTTTAGTCAACACTAATTAATAATTTATAACTTTTTACTGGTTTAGTGGTGTTTACTAACATTCACTATACATTCTATATATTAACTTGTCCAAATGGACTGAATAGATATCATAGATAAGTATAGTTTCAATATTATGGAACTTTAGTCAAAAAAGATAAACAATAATTTTGATAAAATGATATGTATTTTACATTAAATTTATTTCTATCCTTACCTATTTCAGCATAGATAATATTAAATATTTTAAAATTTTGCACAGCGTATGTAGATCTATAATTTATATAATAACGAAAACTATCGAGCTTTCCCAGTTTGAAAAAAGAATCTTTATATTATTTCATATTTATTAACCTGTGTAATAAAAATCACTCACCATAAATATCTGTACCGCAGCCATCTTAAATATATCCTTATATATTATATACAAAATCACATTGGCTGTGGATAAGACGGTTGCAGTCAGTCTGATTGATAAGGCAGGACCTAAGAGCTTATATACTTTGAACTGCGATCGTATTTCGCAGGCATACATTTAAGTTACCTTAAATGACCGGTTGCTCTGATGTTGAGGACACGGAGATGTCTGCGGATTGCGTCTGGATTTTTTTTTACTTGATCCCTCAATTCATTTGTTTATTATTAAGGCACGCTAACTAACACTAGAATGTACAATAGTAAAGGAACAAAACCCAAGCTCTGAGAAAAAAATGTATAACTCATATATCTAAAACATTAAAACTTTTATTAGTGCCGAAAAAATGGCTGCAGGGTCAACCTCGCAGATATGTGTTTAATTAACAAACCGGGACTTTGTTCATCAAAAACACAAATCTATTAAGTGCGTTACTACCAAGGTTTAGTCCTATCTTTTTCTAAATTTCGACAGTAATTCTATGAGACATTATGCAAATTACGCAGTGTAACGAAAGCCTTATTTAACCAACTTAAAAGTGTGTATGTGTGTATTGCTTTTCATGTAACTCGGCTAATTCATTTACCTTCGCTCCTATACCCCCTAGGTGGTGCAAAGGGCGTCCACAATGCTTCGTTATCAGGTTCTTTCTTGAGCGCACTTAACTTCGGACCACGTCAACCCTCGTGCCTCAGCTACGGCTGAGCGTCTCCAGGATTGTCTAGGGCAGCGACGTTTCCTTATTCCTTGGGGTGTCTAATCAGGCACTAGGCCTGTTTTGGGGATGTGGTAGAGCTTCCTTTGAAGAGTGTTTCCGATCCATCTCCACTGGTGACGTGAGATCTGGTGACCGATTGACGTTTCCTAGCACCGATCCTGTTGTTCATTAGAAATCTCTCAGTCCAGAAGATTCCTAGGATCTGTTTCAGGCGCCGGTTGGCAAAGACCTGGATTTGTGGTGGCTTTTCCCGTGTCGCTTATAATATAACACGTATACTCTTCACGTTGAAGCGATAGATTTTACTTTTCACCCCACGTGAAAGTTTGTCCGAAGGTGGCTCTAATTCATAAGGAATGTAAGTTATGTTTCTAGTAAAACTGTGAGTACTCTATTGTTTCTCTGTGTCAAATCGAGTTCACTCTGTGATGCAAAGAGATAGATTAGTTAAGAGTCCATTTCTGATTCTCATTTAGTCTGATTTAGTTTTTGAAATAGAGGGATTTCCACTAGTGGTTTCCATATAGTGAACTGTCACTAAATTATTCTTTACTCTTCTTAATTTAAAACCATGTCAACAAATGAATTTCAAGAGTAGAATAACAAACGGAGAAAATCTTTATAGTTCATCTTTATAGTATATATTATACAAAGTTCATATATTGTTATTGGAACAGTGTGGGCCTAATGGTTTCAGCGTACGACTCTCATCTCTGAGGTCGTGGGTTCGATCCCCGGCTATGCACCAATGGACGTTCTTTCTATACACTTGCCTTAGCCCCAAAAAGTCGACGCCTTGTGTCAGGCACAGGAGGTTGATCAGCTACTTGCTTATTAGATTGACAAATGAACATGAAACAGATACAGAAATCTAAGGCCCAGACCTAAAAAGGTTTTAACGCCGCTAGTTCATTTAATGTATCCTATCTATTAGATATTAATTTTGCTATTTAAATCATTTATTATAATTAAGCCATAAATTACCTAACATGCAACATAGTTCCGTCGCAATCTGATGAAATGATCGGAATTAATTTAGCTTCAAGTACACCTTTTTTATTTTTTACCCGTTCTGGCTAGTATGGCAGCGTAATTAAATATAATTAGTAAATTTTTAAATATATTACTTTAACGAAGAAATGTATCGGACATAATATGTCATGACGGGTAATTTATTAGACGTTTAATAATACGTATATATAAGGTGTCAGTCATAATTTATATAGTTTCAAAAATGTATAACAATCAAAAGAAATAAAGAAATAAAGAAAACCCCTTTTAGACTGAGAAATATTTGGCGGAGGACTCCACAGATACATGAACTACAGTAGAACCTCTATAAGTCGAACATCAAGGGAGACGCCAAAAAATTCGAGTTATAGAGTTTTCAACTTATGGAGGATTTCGACTTAGGCGGATTTTGATTCGACATAAAGAGTTTGAGGTTTATTCTTATAAATTTTGAGTTAGAGAGGTAAAATAAATAGAAATTCAACTTGCAGAGGTGATAAACATATTTTTATTTATAAATCAACATTATTTCAAATCATTTTAAAATAAAAAATATGGCATTAATAAAAGTCAGTAATTTTTTTTTGCTTTAGATAATTTGGTTGTTCTCTATCTATAGCATTGTCTAATCTATAAAGAGCAGAATATTCTGATGTGTATTGCAGTAGAACCAAACTACTTCTGACAGTATTTAAGTCGAAAACAAATGACTGGCTTAGCTAAATTTCCAAGGGAATCAAAATTGAACACCTGACACAAAGCAAGCAAACACGTGTTTCCATGAGTCATAAATTTATTATTGTATACTCCTAAAATGTTTTCTAAGAAAAAAAGTGTACTCACATTGGCGGCAAGTTCTTAAAGTCGGTAACTTATTTTTGTTCGAACAATAGAGATAATAAATTCCAAATGATCAAGTTGTTAAGGTTGTAAAATAAAACGTTCCTATGTTCGAGATACAGAGGTCAAATTTAATTTTTCGAGTTATAGAGTGAAAATATGTACCAAAATGGCTTGGAGGGACTCGGTGATTATTTCGATTAACAGAGAGTCAAGATTTCAAGTAATGGAGGTTTTGGTGTTTTAAGGGAAGGGAACAAAACATTTTTTCGAGATTTGGATTCTAAGACATTATTATGATATCGTACGGATTATTAGCAGCGTGATTTGACTTCCGAGATAATTAGACCTTTCTATTTATCGATAAACTCTTTATACTATTTTTTTTACTAGTGTAAGACACTATTAGTTTCTAAGATAACCTATATTTATTCTTAACTAGCTGTTCCCTGCCACACTTCCCTGTGGCACATTGTGATTCAATGGTTGAGAAATGAGGAACAAAACAAAGAATTAAATAAAATTAATAATTATTTAATATTTACAAATTTTAAATATTACATTTATATTTACAAATTTCAAAAATAAATAAAGAAAGGGTGCGTGTACTTATGTACGCGCGTAAGAAGTTATACTTCGTTGGCATTATTAAAAATAGTTTTTGATTGCATGCAAATAATAAATTACAATTAAATAATCAAAGACTGGAAAAGGAGTCATTATAGTCAATAAAGTTCAGTTTACATTTGAAAAATTAAATAAATAAATATTTATTATTATTCTATTACATTAAGTGTAACATAAATTCTATTATTATTCGAATGTTGTTTTTAAATTATGTCCAATGCCGTAGCATCTTCCGTGGGCAACTTCATTCTGTTAATTTTGTGTCACGGTGCGCGCGCATCGTAAAATTTCACTCTCATCAATTTTTCATAACGCGCCTAAAGAAAACTTAAAAAAAACAAAAGAAAAATAGATAAAAACAATCCTTGATGCGGATTATATATCATGCTAAAATTTAAGCTCGATCAGCTCGATCGGAGCAGAACTTTTTGAGTTTTTGAAACACACAAACCGTACACAAACAAACATAACATACTAGAAATCTTAACCAATATTCAATTACAGTACATTGTTCAGAGGAGTTGTTCGGATTAATGAAGCTGTGATTCATCATAGGACGTCGAGGCGGAATTTGAGATTCCATCCGTATCACCTCGACGTCCACCGATCTACAACTAAGCGTTTTTAAGGCAGTTTTTGCCCTGTGGGTGTGGTGGGCAGTTGCTGCTCAGGTCCTTAAGAAGACATACAAATTCTTAAAAGACCGGCAACGCACTTGCAAGTCCTCTGGCAATGTAAGTGTCCTGTCCGTTTGCTTCCCTACAAATTTATTTTGAAATTTATTTAAGTATATAAAAAATCTACAATTTAGTTTGAGACTCACAAGACCCAGACGCTGTGGTGTCTGAAAATCTCAAATTCTTCTAACTTGAGGGCGTCCAGCTCGGAAGTTTTTGATGCATTATATTTGTCTAAGGCAAGCCGGTTTCCTCAAAATGTTTTCCTTTAACGTTCGAGCTAATTTTAAATGCGCACATAGAAAGTTCATTGCTGCACAGACGGGGATCGAACCTACGACCTCACAGATGAAAGTACGCTGAAGGCACTGGGCATCTACTGCTCTTCAATTATAAACAAATTAAATTCATATAGATAGAGTTAAAATCCATCAACTCATCTTTGTTAATCAACTATAAAGAACGAGGTGTGGTGCACAAGCATGTCCTTTCGCATCTAAATCTCCTAACACGGCATTCTGCAAGTTTTTTAAGGCGAAGTCTATCCAAATCAGAGCGATTATGGTAAATAACTCGTAAATTTTACCATTTTAGAGATCCTTATAAATCGTAAATAATCTATATATTTACTCGCGATTTCTATGATATATAAAATCATAAATACAATTCTTGTTTTGAAGGTTTTGTAAATACGTAGCAAGGATGTTTTGTAAGTGTAGGCTTTTACGTTAATATTTTGCAATAATTACTTCGTTTTTATATAGTTCTCTATATGTCAATAAAGTATTTTTTTTAATTTTATACCCATCTGAAATCAGCCTCTTTTATCAGATTTTATGATATGATTTTGAGGCAATTAGGGAATGCAATTCCAGTAATTTGTTTTCCCTCCGTAACTCGATAACTATGAAACTGCGGCAAGTCTCGACTCTCAGCCGAAACACGCTGACTGCCGTTTCCGTTTATAGTTTTTAATTTTTCCGACGTTTCGCGTGCTTTACAGCGTGCGTGGTCAAAAAATTATGAAAAATAATTGTAAATTTATAATAATACACAACTTCAATCCGGTAAAAAAGTGTTTTCTTTAAATGTGTAAAAGTTATGTCAATAAAAGACTCATATTGAAAGTCACGTGTTATTCAACTATTTCTATATTTAACAAATCAAATCAAAGTCAAAATCATTTATTCATTTATGTAACAATGTCCTGATGAACGTCAAAAAGAAATACATAATTCTTCTAATTTTACATTTACTGCCAGTTCTTAAATCAAGGGCGTAGAACGGAAGAGAAGAACTGGCAATAAACTCTCGGGCACTCTTTTTAATCCCCAAGTTTTTTGTTATACACAATGTTTGTAAGGAGCTGCAACCATTACACCATGTTCCACATGACATCTTAAGTAATAAATAATAATAGAATAAATTAAAAACAAGGATTTGTCCTCTATCAGCAGAAGGCATGGTGAGGAGCACGCACTTACATTCTCGTGGGAACAACACGCATTAACATTAACAGACAGTACAGAACCATGCATCTAGTTTAAGAGAGCAGCCATCTTTTTTTATTAAACTTGATCTGTTGAATGCATTGACTCGTGTAAGGAATATAACCAAAAGGAGTAAAATATGCGGTTGGATCAAACATAGAACACTGACCGAAATAAGTGTTAAGCTTTCGTTTTTCTGACGGAATGGGGTTAATTTTAACTGGAACATCTGATCTTATCTGACGATGGTGACAGTTTATATATAATGTTTATATTTCATATATTTTATTGTGATCACAAAAAAGTGAAAAGGACCAAGAGGAGGAAGGAGAAGAGGGCCCCCAAAAAAAAGATGGATAGAAGAAATAGAAACGGTAGCAGGAAACGAATGGAGTAAGAGAGCCATAGACAGAGTCTTTAGGCTACCGCTAAGCATATTATTTAATAAAAATTGTATTATTGCTAATACATATTATAAATTTCTGTTATCATGTAATTTTTGGATAAACTTTGTAATGTCTTACATATACATTAAAAATTCTACCACAGATATTTTCTCAATAGAAATACCACAGCACTTAATCCATCATAGCTTCATCAAACAGGTATTTTAATAATGAAATAATACAATAGACATCAATAATTTATTTCTAAAATAAATACTAAATCTACCTTAAATACTAAGTTCAAACATCAGTCGCACAATTTTAATGAATCTCAATAAAAATTGTCTTTGTAAATACATTCATGTTCTATGTGTATTAAGTGTAATTCAAAACATCTTTACTGTTAATACATTAAAACATCATCCAAGTAATTTATAATGCTCTATTTATAAATCATTCAGTCTCATTATCATCATTGCCCTCATCATCATCATCTTCATCATCAGCTTTAGTAGAAACTTCTATCACTATCGATTCAGTAGTTGTGTCAGTGCTATTGGGAGTAGTCATATTGTCTGGTATATTTTCACAGAATTTTCCACTGATGCCTGGAGGACATTGACATCTGAAGGAACCATCGTTCGATTCCAGAGATTGGCATTTTCCTCCATTTTTACAGGTGTCAAGGTTCTTTTCACAGTAGTTTAGTTCTGCAATAAAAAAATCTATTAAATCCGAAGCACGCTAGTCATTTGGCCGTGCATTAGAGTCTCAGCTGTGTATAAATGAATGTTTCTTTCTATATACGCCACAGAATTCTAATAATTATTATTAGTTTTAGAAAGAAAACACTGGCGCTACAACCTTTTTAGGTCTGGGCCTCAGATTTCTGTATCTGTTTCATGAACATTTGCCAACCTTATAGGCAAGTAGGTGAGAACAACACGTCCACAAGCCGTCGACTTTTTGGCCTGGTTCCTCACGATGTTCCTCACCGTTCGAGCGAATGTTAAATGCGCACATAGAAAGAAAGTCCATTGGTGGACAGCCGGGGATCGAACCTACGACCTCAGGGATGAGAGTCGCACGAAGCCACTAGACCAACACTGCTCGATTATAAGTTTATTCTTGAATAAGAGATTAATAAATATCATCTTCAGGAATAAGAGTTTATTGAAGCTATTACAATAATTTACACGATAAATTATATCCATAAATGTGGGGCATTCTAATTATTTTCATCAACTCGTCCATATTTTATCTGTAATTTTCTGCAAATTTCTCTATCGGCTGATATTGAAATACCAGCAAGTAGTTTTCGCATCAAATTAAAACCAGCTATCAATTATGATAGCACTTTATAAGGAGATGTCGTAAAAGCTTGATCTCATTTGAAAGTGCGTTGAACGAAAATGTCGCTATATTTTGGACTGTAGCTATAGTAGCGCGGAAATTCAATAAAATATCTATGAAAATTTTACAATTCCAGAACGGAAAATCCGTTAACTAGTTGGTATTTACTTAGAAGTCGATTTTCTGAGATAGTCGTTATGAAATTTTTAGATAAATAAATAATAATTGATTTATTTAATGTCAGAAAACAGATTACATAACAAATACCCAGGCTCCAGTTACATATATTGTGTAGCAATACTGAAAAAATAAAATGCAACTTTCTTTGGAACATAAGCTAACAATAAATATGTCTACTCCACGGCATGTAACATCTGACTTACTTTAAAAATGTTCCTAACTAATGAATAGTATTAAAGCTAACGGAAAGATTATTAAGCTATTGCATAGCTTCTAGCGCGGGCCTTGAGCGTGGAGACCGAATCCAGAAATTCCGTAACGAAAATAAGCTTACACATGATGACGTAACTTGACGTCTCACATCGGGTGCAGCCGGTACACATCAGACAGACTATATAGGCGTGTTAGTCTGAGTCTGGTAGAGTGGTAGATTATGGAATTAATATCAAAGAAAAAAACTTAAATTAATATCAAAGAATAAAAATACTGCATAAATAAAAAAATAATAAATAATTATAATTGCATAAGTTGATAAAAAATGCTATGCAATAGATTTACCGCGGCAGTCCCCGAGTGCCACACATTTTTTTTATATACCTTCATCACAGAGCATTCCTCCCCATCCCTTCTTGCAAATGCATTCCCATGGTCTGCTACATGTTCCGTGAACACAGCCAGGGTACGAATGGCACTGGGAACAGGTAGGGCCCGTCCACCCAACCTTACACCTACACTCTCCTGGACGTCTGCAGTAACCGCGCTCTCCGTGGCAACCAGTGGAGCAGATTGCTGTAAAGAAATTATTTATTCATTTGTTTTGTTGAATATTCCACATTTAATGATTTTTACCGGATATAGGCACGTGTGATACTTGATCCAAAACCATTTGTCTTCAGGCATATAAATAAAGCTGTAAAGTACATTAATACATCGAAAATTTAAAAGTATTGTTAAATCATTGCTAATTTTCTGATAATCATACAACAACTTGGTAATCCGTTTCCATAACCTTTTTTCTTTAAGTAACAATAGGTCTTTTGTGTTAATAGTATTCGCACATTCATTTGTTTTAAAAATAATTACTTGATATAACGTTCTTCTGGCATATGATTAAATAAGGTACATTACATAAATAAAATAAAGTATTGTCATTCAAAATTCTCTGACTTCATCTGAGCTCCTCAGTGGAATTCATATTAACATATTTTTTTTACTTGTAGATGTGATACTAAACTGTTCCCAAGTCTCGCTCGACGCACTCTTCTTAGTGCATACCGTCTTGGTTTAAATAAGATGAATAATCGTTTTAGTGGTACCAACGTTAATATTATTATATTTTTGTGTCAAGGTTCGCTTACATCGCGTAAAAGAATTCTATTTAATTTAGTTATAACGAGCTTAAATTTTTATAAATTCAAAAATAATTTATTTACATAAAAGACTCGGTGTACTATATATAAATACTGTACTGACATTAGACATGGTTAATATCTATCAAGTTCCATATTCCTGATTATTGGATTGCAAGCTTGCCATATAATTACAACAGCGACTTCAATAATGATATTGTATCAAAGTTGGCAACACAGTCATAACTTACGTGTTTGACACAAAAGTCCGGTGTATCCTGGCAAACACTTGCACTCAAGGGGCTTATCACAGTATCCATGTTGACATCCGGGCAATGGTTGACAAGCCCGACACGTCGGTCCAGCCCACCCTAGCCGGCAACGACATTCCCCTGGTGACTCACAGAATCCCCTGGTCGCGTGACAGTCCGAACGACAGATTGCTACAATAAAGAATATTTTAAGACAAAGTATTATATTCAATAAAATTGTCCATAAAATAAATAATTTCCTAGGTAGAGACCTGTTTTAAATAACGAAGTTCAACAAAATAACACTTAATTTAGGCGCACTGTCAGGGTAAAAATTTTTATATCGAATATGATCACTGGTGATTATAGATGAATCCAGCGTTTTTATGGAAGAAAAAAATCAAGTGAGAGTGTTTGAGACCGATTGACAGGAAAAACCTAGAAGTAGGATTCATCAGGGACTCCGTTTTGTCATAGTCTAGAATTACCAATTGTTTAAAATTTTTTAATTTTTAAAATTAAAATTTCCCCCCGAAGGCCAAGGGGTTTTTTTAAAGTATTGTAGAGATAGGCTTAGTGACTAGAATCGGTTATGAAATATTAGTATTTTATATTGCTAAATTATATTCGTTCCTTGCCCCAAAAAACACAACGGAAAAATAATTTATGAAATCTCAAACTGACAAATTGTAAACCTTGAAATGCCTTTTTAATTCATGTTTTTATTATCGAGAAATTAAATTTCGATAATTTTTCAAGGTTGGTTCATTAAAAAAGTTCCTAACATGCATCCATCTGCCGGGCTAAATTCCTGATCTAACTCTCGGACACCCAAAGCAACAAAAAACATCTAAATCGTTCCCCCGCCCGTGGAGGAGTTCAGTGACATGCACACGAACAAGACTTAAAAATATACATTTGCCAAAGAAGTTTTAAGTCAGATCAAAATGCACACGGTGTGAAAATCATTAGAATCGGTAATCTGACACCTAATTTATTTAATATATTAAGACTCAAAACGATTTTTTTGCTGCTAGAAATCTTGGAATTTTCAACTTACGTTCAGAGCAGAATATTCCATCCCATCCATCTCTGCAGACGCACTCGAAGGACACGTTGCAGTAACCATGCTGACATCCAGGAAGAGGTATGCACTTATTGCATCTTTCGCCATAGAATCCCATCTTACACCTACATTCCCCTGGCCTTTTGCAATACCCTAAACAGTTAAAAATGTTGTTAAAATTTGCTGTGATAATTAATTTACAATTCAACCTTGAGTAACAACTTTTTAATGAGAAATAAGTAGAGCGATGCTCTTATCTGGGCCAGATACTTTACTGTTACTATGTATGCTGCTAAGAACGTGACTCAGCGTTAGACTGATTTCATTTAAATAACTGTAATAATAAAGGACCGATCTTTTCGCCAAACTCAAAAAAAGTAAATGTACTTTTGTTTTTCAAATGGGAACAATAGTATGAGTAGTTTATGTATCCATTTTCCATACGATTTAAATAACTCCTTTGAAAAAAAAAAACCAAACATATCACTTGACACTTTGAATTCTTTTTATGACATTTATATAGAACATGATTTGAAAATTACACGATATATTCATCGCAACCTAAGTAATCCATTTCAGAAAAAAAATTGATAAAATAACATTAATTTAATGTTTTACATAACTAATTGTTATTACGGGCCGGTGCGCCTCAGTGCCCCAGCTCTCCACTGCCCCCCAGTCCACTCCGTGCTTCATGCAATTCGTGCTGGGATAGAAGCACTAATTCATTAATATTTTCTCTGAAACTTTGTACCTTGAAGGGGATCGCATCCCTTCCTGCAAATGGGCACGTCGCAGAGATCTCCTTGCCATCCCGGCAGGCACTTCGGCTCTCCCTTGTCATCACAGATGTAATGGCTGTGTTCACTCTGCACTGCGGGCAGCTCGCACGCCTGAACACTCTTCTCGTATAGAGCCACCGTCGAAGGCTACATGCAGGTGATAGTCAGTTACGTGCATAGTGATTAGCACAGGGTGGGTGCACACAGGTGACGAATAGTCTGGATGTCACTTGGTGAATAGAGTATTTATAGTACAGGTTGTTAACGTAATAAGGTGATTATTGATTTGGTTTGTGATTTAGTATAAAAACATAAAAAGCGTGAGTGTAAATGTTACTGATAAAAACAAAAATAAGCAACTTCCAAATAACCCAAACAATAATTTTTGTTAGTGATATATCGAGAACATATTATACAGATTTTAAAACTGGAGGCTCATCTGATGTTATGGGATACCCATGGACACTCAATTCCAGAGGGCGAGTGCGTTGCCGGCCTTTTAAGAATTGTTAATAATTATTTTGGATTTTGTAGAGTATCGTTTAAATAAATAAGTTTTCATTAAAAAAATATATAATATCTACAACCTACATCTCTGGTTACATATTAATTGGTAAAATTAAAGGTTTAAACATAAACTTTTACATATTAATACGTTTATACATTAGTCAGTAAAAAAGCTGGGTTAATTAGATCAGTCGATGCATTTCAACTAATCGATTATTTATTAATGACATGCAAATATATGCAGTTGCACAAGCTGAGACTGAATGTATTTAAATTGGGTAAATGAGACCACATACAGATTGGATTTAAGAAGTTTTATTATTAAAAGATTATGTTTAATTTAAATATGTATTTTTATTCATATTAATTTTATAGGGTAATAATATATTTTAATAATGCGATATTTTATCAGTACAATTAATATATATATTTTTTTATAATTATATGACTCATTATTAATGTTAAAGTTCCGAATTTTAAGACAAATTTGTACCACCATAACATTTATGTACCATATTCTTGCAAGTAAATTATTATTATAACATATAATGTATTTATCTCTGAACAAAACAAGACGACAGACAACAGACGTTTTTAAAACGAAATTATAAAAACCTAATCGATTGTTTTTAATATTAGGATAATCTCTTGAAACGTAATATACTTTAATTTTAATCAAAAATAAAAAAAAATCAGTGGCGCTATGATAATTTCTCAATCTAATAGGCAAGTAGGTGATTAGCCTCCTGTGCCTCACGCATGCCGTCGACTTTTAGGGTCTAAGGCAAGGCGGTTTCTTCGCAATGTTATCCTTCATCGTTTAAGCGACTGTTAAATGAAAGAAAGTCTATTGGTCCAAAGCCGGGGATCGAACCTACGATCTCAGAGAGTTGCACGCTGAAGCAACGTTGCTATTTTTAATAATTATATGCAAAAACATAGACGACATTCTTAAGCCATCTAAGATGTAGATCAACAATTTTAATTCTTAAATAAAACTTGACGAAAGTGACCCCAATATTTGAATGTACTTTGTCCAAACCGTGAACTGTTAATTAAGGCTTTTGTTCGCTTGGGTTGAATTTGACGATAGCTCCTTTCATCCTATCAGGATGTTGACTCATGACTTTCTAATATCTGTAGAAAGTCACGCGTAAGTCGGCTCAAGAGAAAATGCAATACAAACTACAGATTATGTTACAAATATAAGGAAAATCTCTTGCAATACAGAGCTAAATATTTAATAAACATTATTATTAACAGTAATAAATGCCAAAGGGTTTTTAAGGTAAACTAACTATTCTAAAACGAATTTTCAGTTGTAATTTAAATATACAATTCTAGTACTGAATATGAATTTTAATGTTCGCCCTTAAGACAAAGAAACCACAATTTTAGGTCCGAAGGGCAGCTATTGCAGCTTTTTAGCACTGATTTTAACTTTAACTTCAAGTTTTCTTACTAAAGAAATAAAAATATCTAGTCAAAATGCGTAATATAAAAAAAACAATATCATGTTACAAATATCATCAAAATTTTGGCCTTTATTACTCATTCAATAACCCGTTGGGTCATGAAGAAGACACAATTTTGAGTCTGTTTAATTGTTTACTTTGTATTGACAATAAACCAATCAGCCTCATGCCCCTACCAAACATAGAAAACCAGAAATTATGTTCACCCGTCACTTTAATATAGGTTTTATGGAAGAGGGAAGTTTGGGCAACGCCGTTAAATATTGTACCAAGGCGAAAAGTACTCGAACCTTTATATTTTTAATAAAGCGCAAGCCCAAGCCACACTTCATTCTAATTCAGTTTGCATAAATATCCTTTATAATCTATATATTATTACGTAGGTTTTCGTTGGAACAATATAATTTTACTTTCATTTAACTGTAATCGAAAGTATAGCTGTGCCCATTTTTGGGACGAGAAATCCTGTTCAGAATAAACAATAGCTATTTTATGTAACGTTGCTTGCTTTGTTTCGTAGAACTTTTTATTATTAACAAATATACCAAACCAAAAGTCAATATCAAATGTAAGAATATAGAATAATTAAACAGATAATGTATGTACTAAACGTATAGTAAATACTATGGAGTGGATTAACTTAATGATTAAATAAATGCATTTTTATTTGTGTTGGACCAACTTCTATCAAGAAAGGAAAGGGAGTTTGTTAGGAAAATAATCCTACTATTGTTGAACTGTATTGAGAGGAATTTGTTTAAGTTCAAACATTATCTCAGTCTAAGAAACAACATTCTGGCTTCTTGTGCCGGTTCGATCGACACAACACTTTCAGGTTTAGAAGACAAAGAAGGCTGGTCATTATATATAAGGTAATAATATATAGAAGTATGTCCCATTCAATGAGGACATATTTTGATAATACGTAATACATGAATTTGTAAAGCAAATTGGAAACTATAGTATATAATATATCACGAAAGCTAAAATTGTTTAAAATAAAATCCAAATATTTCGACATGGCTATTTCCTTGCTGTATGTTTTAGCATATATTTACCAGTTGTTGAAATGTACCGGAAAGGTACTTACACGGTGTCGGATGTATAAGGCTTCAACGCATTTACGAATTATACGAAAAAACATGATTTATTCAGCGTATAATGGATTTGGAGGCTTTTACAAACAGAAACATTAGTTGACAACTTTTTGTTAAATTATTAAATGGTTTTCGTTGTGGCTTAGTATATAAAATGCTGATAGTTCAAATTGTAAAGTCTAAATGTAAAATATATCAGATATATATTAATAATAAAAATTATTAAGAACCACAATAAACTAACAGCCGTATTCAAAGTTCGGAAGTTAATTAAATAAATAAACAACAGTCATTAACTAATCGGGCATTAAAGTGAGAAATGTATAATATGTTAGAAATATTAACTTAAATAATATGAAAACTTGATAGACCACATACTGTGATTATTTCGTAGAATAGAAATCAATATTAATTTACCTGTTTCTTCCATTTTGGCAGCATATATTTAGCTGGTAGCACAGCTGGCGTTACACACGCCAAAACCACAATAAATATGCAATTCTTCATTATTACTCCATTAACACTCTATAGAAATATTAACGCCTGATGTGTAATTACGGCAATGATAAAACGGAAGCGTGTGCTTGGTACACGGTACTGTTATGTTGTGTTATTGAACTTGACTCTTGAGAGAGACTACTTTCGCCCGGACTTTTACGCGGCTATTAAATATGCTAGTGTAGTCTTGTCCGCATTTTAAAATATATAATGTACGATGTTGCGCAAAGAAATGTTAAAATATTAGTTCTTGAAATATAGACTGTTAACTTTTAGAGTGTTTGATTGTTGGAGCCTCTTAAAAACACTTAAAATTCTAATGTGTTTCATTCTCTTGAGCACTGACTTTACATTTAACTAACGTTTTAACTGTTATTAAAGTCGCATTGAAAAAATTAATGTGTTTTTGAAGCCAGATTGGAGATTTCGTCACTTTATGAATTTTCTACATTTTATCCCAAATAAATAAATTTTTTTGCATTAGGAATTGATTATTCTTAATTTAATTTGTTACTCATAGACATACGTAGAAAAAATTGTCTCGTAATAAAAAAATTAATACGTTTTCTACATTGTTCATAATTGTTCCTAAAGAAATCGCTATTTTCGTAACCACAACACGACGCCGGCGCCGATTAATAACTCGAAAAGCGAGTGCAGCTGACCCAGTTTCTGAGATTTCTTTTATCACGTAAAACCCAACATTGATACAATGAGACCTCTCATAATAAAATGTATCAAAAAATTAGAATTACATCAAATATTTTCTAAGTTTTCATAGTCCAACCTCACACAAAGTTTAACAGTCGTTCTTACTGTGAAAAGCATCGTGAGAGAGCCGGCCTTTGACCCAAAAAGTAGTGTCAAGCACAGAAGACCACCCATTTTATTAGAAACAGAAAATTATCACGAAACAGACAACTCTGAGACTAAACCAAGGGTTGTAGCGCCACTGATTATTTTTTTATTCAAGCTCCAAAACTGGCCATTTATTAATAAAAAAGAACTAAAGCCAAACAGTTTTCTAGGCTCACCTTAGATATAGGGGAATACTTTAACACCACCTGAAGTATTTCTTGTATAATAATAGTCTTCTAATATATAAAATTCTCGTGTCACAATGTTCGTTCCCATACTCCTCCGAAACGGCTCGACCGATTCTTATGAATTTTTTTATGCATATTCAGTAAGTCTAAGAATCGGCTACTATCTATCTTTCAAACCCCTAAATTTTTATTTTATAGATATTTTTTTGTTTTTATTTTTTTATGATAAGTACAGCATACAAAAATACATACACCCCTTAATTTTCACCCATTTACGATCAACCCCTATTTTTTATTTGTTAATTAAAATCTTATAACTTGAAGTCTGAAGTCTAGGTTAATATAGAGAAAAATTCAAAAAAACATAAAAAAAAATTCCTTCCAGAAAACCGAACAGCATAGCATCTGTGGTAGCATAGCAAAATGTACAATGTTGGCTTGTACTAAAAAAGTAGGCTAAGTAAAATCACATTAAGGAAAAACGAATTTCGCGGGGGCAGCTAGTGTTAAGTTAAAAGCAGGTACTTCTTATACAAAATGTTTTTTTTAGTAAAAGGTCATATTATGGTGTTAGGAGAAAAAGGGTGCAATAAAAGTCCATGAAGCTTAAAATACTTATACATATATTAATTTCATTTTATATACAATTACTATATAAAGCTACACTACAATATATACACAGTTTAGGTCCATGTTTACGATTCGTACAAGAATAACATTAGGGATTCGAAGCACAAAGCATTATTATTTCAATATTAAATGTATAAAAGGTATTAAAATACAATTTTATTGGGTTAAAACGGTAAAATTACATTATTGTTTGTGATAAAAACTGAATATTAAAATAATATTGCTTTAAGAAAAATTCCTTTAACACTATAAGGCTGTGGTTACACAATTTATATGTTTGTTTATTTATTGGCTAAACATCGCAATACACTGTTTGTAATGGATAATAGATACACTAAAATAAATTGGCATAGGGTTGATAAATGGCTGTCAATTGTCAAACTTTGGCACAATGCTTTTAAAAAAATACATTGCATTTCATTTATTTTAACCCTGCTACTTACGATATAGCAGTTAACAGATTGTGTCGGATTTACAATAAAACTGTGATGAAAAGTGACTCGGTGGGCATTTTTAAAAACTCCATAGAGACCTTTCGTTTTAGAACCCAGTGTTAATTATTTGCTATTATTATTATTATCTTTTGCCCTGTTATATTACTATATAATTGCTTATGTATTTACATTGTATATTCGGGGATGCTTGGTGTACCCATGCGACTTTTTCAAACCCCTCGGTAGTTCTGCGATATTGCGGGCTACTCGATTGTGAGGACCTACGCCTTTTTAATTTCTGATATCATTTTTACACGTGTATATCCTATTCTGATTTTCATAAGTATCTGATTCTCCTCTTTTTAACATGTGTAATGTTTGAGACAAAAATAAAATAACCGACTTTGTATGTAACGCCGACTTCGTGTATAGTGAGAATGAATCGTTAGTGTACCTATATAAATATCACATAAGATTTGTATGTCAAGGTTTTTATTCTCAAAGGACTCAAAACTAGGCGATTAAATGAGTAGCGGAGAGTTTCTTGCCAGTTCTTCTTGGCCGCTCTACGCCCTTGCGAAATGTAAATTTAGAATCAATTGAACATCTTTTCTGTTGACGTTCATAGATGTACTTGGTTACCTAAATGAATAAAGTTATTGTGAGTTTGAGTTATTATAATAAAATGAGCATTTATCAGTGTAAGGGTAAGTTTTAAGTGAACTTAATAACCACTACATATTCTAGCACTGCTGTATGATAAACTCAAAAACAACATTTGGTTTTCATTAATAGTGCGTTTCCAGATAAATGTTTAGTTGTAAAATACTGATACAACGTTTTCTTAAAAGAGGTCGTTAAAATCTTACCAAATCACACCATACATTTATCACATTACAATCAGTGCACTTTATTGAGTATACAATACACGTAAAATACATCACAAAATGCAGATCTTTGAGCAGTGGTACTTATTGAAGTGAATCTTCTTTATCGAGGTTGGAAAAAAAATTAGTGTAACATTTTTTCGTTACGCGTCACATTTTTCAGTTACGCGCCATGTTGCTTTTTGAAGTCAAACTTCTTTATCGGCGTTGGAATGAAACTTCTTTATCGACGTATGGGAGAAATTTTGTAGCAAATCGTCACGTTTTTCAATGATAGTAATAATTCTATTACAATTAATGAAATTCTATAATAATCTTCGTAGTAATAAGGTAAAATGAAATATTTGTATTCATGTCTATGATAATAAAAGCCTTTTGTTAAACTTTATCTAATTTAACGAATTTCTGTAAAGTTGCATACAGTAGATCATTTTTCGAAAAATAAGATCATAAAGAAGTTTCACTTCTTACGTGTGTACACCTAGTACACGCACAATTTATTTTCTTATATTTGAGTACTTTAAAGTATGAAAAGTGATTAACGCAACTATGGAATGATAATCGGGTATGAAGTTTCCCAAATAGTTTTGACTTTTGTAAAACAGGTACACAGGTAGGCACAGGCAACACATTAAACTGATTTTCAATTCAAATTTGGACTTTGATCCCTCAATTATTTGACCTTTAAAGGTCGTAGACATTCTGCCATATAACGCTTGCCAAAGGACTTTCTAATGGAAAACCATTGAATAATTGCTCCATTTCAACTAAAATACTCTATTAGATCTCTTTTTATCACAGCGTAGACACAATAGGAAAGAAAGAGACGAAAAAGTGTGTCCTTTTAAAAATTTAGTCTAGTCTGTTGTTTTAAAGTTGATGACAATCTGACAGAAATGACATCTGACATTTTGACAGCATTTGACAGCTAGCGACACTATGTAACAATATTTTTAGTGGTTAAGTCTTAGACTGAGATTCAGAGACGGTCAAAGTCCGGGCTGAGCCAAGTTTACAAAATGTTACTCGGAAACATTGTTCTTGACTGAGGTATGACTTCTATTATTTTTGGTATGATTACAATCTTCTATTGTTTTTGGTGATTACATAACTTTATTACTAATCTGTGAAATCTAAAAATAATTTGACCAATAAAAATAGAGTATTTTTTTTAACATAAAAATTAATTTATTTATTTAGAAATATTTTTTTATTAGTAATGTGTTAAACATTTCATCATTCATTAAAATCTGTATTTTTAATTACAATTGTTGGTTTTGTGGCGCCAGACATGTCAAATATAACAAAGAAGTATTTATAAAGCCTAGTGTTGTGTTGCCGGCCTATTTACGGAATGTTGAGTTTAGTTTGAGATTCGAAATTTTTATTGAATCAAAAAGTGGAGAATGTTAAAACTATCACCTTGTGACGTAAATCGGCTTCCTATATTTAAACTACGAATATGAGTTGTTATTTTTTACTAGCCGGTGGGTATTTATTTAGACATCGGTTTATAATAAACACACAGTTCAGTTACAGTTCCTTAAAATATAGCTATCTCTGTCTGTTGGTATGCTATAGATAGAGACATCAGATCGGCTTACAACCATAACAGCCCACACACTGTCTACTTAATTAAAGTTATAGGAAGATTACACCAACGCACGACCACAAAGCTTCCCTGAACTGTTCCGGATAGAGATAGCAAATAAGTTTGTTACAAAAGCTTATAATTGAGATCCGTAGTTTAAATATAGGAAACCCGATAACACCGTATTGTTTTACAAATTATTAGGCTTATTCGAATAAATTCATTAATAATATTAACAACATGGGTTTAATCGCCTATGTACAGTCAGCAACAAAAATTATAAAAAATACCATGTTAATATTAAAATAGAAAACTAGGCCATATTTTACCAAACTTCTTCAAGCAATTAACGCCGCCATTTTGGATTTAAATGTAATTTTTCTTTTTCTGATTTCACAAAAAAATCACTAAATTATATAAATAATATAATAAATTAATTATTTGAGTTGCTGACTGTACTTATAAAACACCTATAACTCATTCTGACGTTCGTTTGCGTGTTTGTACTCGGGGAAAGGATAAAGCACTAAATGATCAGCCGTTTTGTACCACGGGATTAGGCCATTCTGAAAAAATAATTAAAGCTATAATAAGGGTAATAGTTTTTTAATTTATAAGGATATAAGTCTATATAAAATCTACACTGGTGTGTTGCCGGCCTATGTACGGAATGTTGAGTATTGTAACGGAACTGTTTTTTCTCCTTATACATTTTTATGGTTTAACTTTCTCAGAAAGGCAGTTTTCGCCGCGCACCACCACTATGTGGAACCAGCAGCCCACTGAAGTATTTCCAAACCAAAACCACTTAAAGTCAAAGAGCGTACCAATTCTTAAAAAGCCGGCAACACACTCGCGTGCCCTATTGAGTGCATTGAGAATGTCGATGAGCGGCGTTATCACTGAAGATGTAGCCTCTATTCTATTTTTTTCTTTCTCAAAACCTCATACTCACCATATTAGTTCTTTTATTGGTCCCTCGACCGAAACCATTCCAATGGTTCCCAGCCACTCCTATCAGATCTCCCGCCTGGAATCAAACAGACCAAATTAGGGATCAAGCAAACTTGGTCAGATTTCAGATTAGTATGTTTACCACGGAGACAATTATTTTTTTATTATTATCGGAAACGAGGCTACGGGACGCCCATAAAGGGCAGTCATCGCAGTCAATGGACACCCATTTTAGTGGGTGCGTTGCCGACCTTTGAGGGAGGGATTACTGAAGAATTTTCAACTACAGGCAGTCCTTGACTTACGTCGTTTCGATTTACGTCAAACAATGTTTTGACACTCGAGGATACGTCATTTGTTTCGATTTCCGGCATAGGAGAATTCACTTGTCTAGTGCAAATTTGGAGAATGCCATGAAAATTTTAAAGAAAATGATCCTAATTTTGTGAGAAGTTTCAACGTTAATAACAAAATTTGTGCAGCCTATCAGTGTTACAAGATTTGTATGATAGCAAGAAGAAAGAAGCGAAGAAATCTAGAATTGATAGTATCTTTAAGCCAAAAGTTAAATTTATTATTTCTCATTACATATTTTGATTACATATTAATAATAAATTATATTCTACGTTTATAGAAAAAACGACACTAACAATAGAAAAAACTAAAATTGAGACTATAGCTAACTTCAGGGTATCGGTTTTTTGTGACGGTGTGCGCGCGCATCGTAAAAATTTACTTTCATCATTTCTCCCTAACGCGTCATAAGAAGTATAACTTCAAAAATCCCAACAAAAAAAATGTTACTCACATTTTATGACGCTATCTCGTGGAAATTAAGGCAAAACTACTATATTTTTTTTTTTAATTAATGTAAGCCATAACATACCTGGAATGCGATCTCCTGATTGGACCGCGGGGTATGGTTCATAATAGCCCGGCGATTGTGAGCATTTTGACCCCCAAAGTAATAAATATCATCCAAAGAGTAAAAACTATCAGATGCGTCCACTCTGTTCGTTTGCATCATTTCATACGCTACACGACCGACCTGCAATTTTTTCAAGTTAGGGGTTAGGCGTGTATGTCCAATAAGGTCAGGGTTCGACATGTGCTCGGTATTTGACTTTAAATACTATTTCAGATAATTAATACCGTAATGCTTTAAAAATTCAAAAAACCCGCCAAAACGCTTCTCTAGACAAGATGGCGTCGCGCCAGTCCCTATGACGTACCATGCTTGTAAACACATAAACGTCAAATTTTTTAACTGTTAATTATATTGTTTTAATTACACAAGTACATAGATAATTATTGACAAATATAAATTGTCTAAGACAAAATATCATAGTTAGGGGAAAGATCATTTTCCATTCAATTTTTTTTATATAAATGACGAAACCCACTTACATAAAAGTTAACCCTATGAACCCATAAACACAATTTCAGGCTCGCGATTACGCTGCCGGTCTTTTTTGAGTTCAGAATCGGCTCAATTCTCAAAGACTTCAACGGTCAGATTCCATATAGTTTGGTACGTACAGGAATTTACAGGGTAAGCCTGCTTGACTATTTCATAGTAAAAAATTACTTACCTGACTACTAAACGTGCAAACAATATAATCGCTCATGGCCAGCATATGCAAATCTACCAATAGTCCGGTGAGTGATACCGGCGTATATCTACGATGCGTAGCGGCCGTTTTAGCTATAGACGGGTCACCCAAGAACTCGTAGTCCGGGTACTTTGAGCGAGCGTCTCCTAATACCTGAAATTATACATATACTGATATTTAAGTTTGTTTTTATTCAGATATAGTTTAGTTCTACCAAATTAGCTAATAAAGAACATTGGAGTATTCCAAAGGGCTATGGAGCGTCTCTTCTTCGGTTGAAACTCAAAGACAAAGTTAAAAACGGTGTAATAGGAAGCCTTAACATAAAAGACATCGTAACACTTATACTCAGATTTTTATTCCGTAGAATTCTGACATTTCATAAGTGTGCTACTAAAAAGTTCTCCATCGAAAAAGGGACAAATTTGACTTCATTGAGGGCAATAAAAATAAATTGTGCGTGTACTAGGTGTACACACGTATGAAGTGAAACTTCTTTATGATCTTATTTTTCGAAAAATGATCTACTATATGCAACTTTACAGAAATTCGTTAAATTAGATAAAGTTTAACAAAAGGCTTTTATTATCATAGACATGAATACAAATATTTCATTTTACCTTATTACTACGAAGATTATTATAGAATTTCATTAATTGTAATAGAATTATTACTATCATTGAAAAACGTGACGATTTGCTACAAAATTTCTCCCATACGTCGATAAAGAAGTTTCATTCCAACGCCGATAAAGAAGTATGACTTCAAAAAGCAACATGGCGCGTAACAGAAAAATGTGACACTAAATTTTTTTCCAACCTCGATAAAGAAGTTTCACTTCAAAAATACAAAAAGGTAAATCTAAATATTTACTTAATCAAGTGACCTAATACAAAAATAACAAATATTTCAATATCACGAACAATTTATATCGAATTAATTTAATTATTTTATTTTATTATTTTATTTAGCTGGCATCACTGCCTACTAATTTAAATAAAAAATACTATCTTTACTTGTGCGTTTTTTACTGTTTGTGATGAAAAGGGACGTAAACGTTAAACCACTTTTAATGTGGAGCACCGCACTTATTAATAAAATGGATACATTAACTAACAATAAAATGTATAGACTCAGATGTTCAGACTCGTATAGAAATTGAAAAATGTGCCCGGCCAAAAATCATCACTGAAATGTCAAAAAATGATAGCTGTCAGAATTTTACGGAATTAAAAATCAGAGTATAGTGAGAAAATTTAGGGTAGGTTAGTTATATACATCGTGTCAGTCACCCACGCCGTCCTGGAGTACGTGGCTGTGGCTATCCAATGTACAGATATCCTTGGAGGAGTGAGGTCGCTTATAAAATGAGGGCGTAAGTAATAATGAATATAATTGGCAAAAAGGTAATCAAAATAAAAATAAGTCTAGCATATCCCGAGCGATACAAAGAAGCAACGGTATTAAAACGTGACGATCGGCCGAGTTAATTTCAGATCACCCTCATCAAAATTCATTAAAAATAAAAATGTGTTTTTTTTTCCATTATTATTTTTACATAATTTTCGTCTGAGACGCTAACTAACTGTTGTGGTCTCTGGCAGAATGACCAGCGCTGAGGAACTGTCTGCTCCTCAGCATAATGCTGAGCCAGGGCCAGGTACACACACTATTTTTAAAAAAAAAAAAAATTTTTTGTTATTTTTAATTATTAGTATTCTTTTGTCTGTTTCGTTAGTAATAAATTTGATATCTGTAATCAATATTGTATCAAGAACAAAAAAGTACTTTTTTAAAGACGCCCCCAATTTCGGCGGGTCTTCCATTGTGTATATCTACTTACATTAGCATCATCACTAGCCAAATACACTCTTCTGACGTCGACGTGTTGAGTTAATTCCAACTGGTCATAATATTGCTTAACGTGAACCATATATTCGTCTATACTGTGAAAGGCCGCCTCCGTACCCACTTTGTCCGTACGACGTATGTGAACGCTGGAAACAAAATTTATTTATTTATTTAAAAATACATACACTATCCTTACATTGCTAAACTAATACGATAATGTCGAAAAAATTGAATATAGCTGGCCATAAAAACTTTTATTTTTCACAACTTTTTAATTATTTTGAATTTGGAACACGGGTATTATAAAAACTTCTTTAGATTTTGCGCCATTTCACATATTTTTTCGTATTCATTATCTTATAATATGGAATAGAGTGTTAAAGAAAATAGGATTGCATTGATCGCCTTGCACAAAGTGCTTTAAGAATTGGAACGCTCTCTTCTTGAAGTAAGAAGAATTGGTTCGGAAATACATCAGTGGGCAGCTGGTTCCACATAGTGGTGGTGCGCGGCAAAAACTGCGTTAAAAACGTTCAGTTGTGAAACGACGGACGTCGAGGTGATACGGGTGGAATTTTGTATTCTGCCTCGACGTCCGATGATGAAACTCAGCTGCAGGTATTAATCCGAACAACTCCTCTGAACACTCTCCATGGTAAATGCGGTAGAAGATGCAGACCGCACATGTTTAGGCAACGCCAAAGGATCAATCATCTGTCATCTGTCAAAAGTTGATTGAACTGTCAACTGTCATCTGTCAAATTTGATTTTTCTTTTTTTTTATATAGTTGTACTGTAAAAATCTTACCCAACAATAGGCCGCATAAAGTGCATCTTAGCGATCGTCTCGTTGATCGCCTTTTGCATCGCGGGCTTCGGCTTGAGCACGTACTTGAGCATTTGACCGATCCACCACGAAGATGGGTCACCATTGAAGCGGACTATACTGAAAATATAACAAATCTATTATTAATATTACACAATTTTATTATTAACGAATATAACACATTTGAATATGAGTTGGCGATTTAAATTCAAAGATTTTTTCAGCTAAATTTATTAAGTCAAAGTTTATATAATAATGTCTTAATACATTCAATTATAACATAATATATTAATATGTTTCCATACAGCTCCCAAATAGTACAGGTACTCAGCAATATATATTAAAAGAACTATATCGAAATTGTTTACAATAACGTCGGAATTGCTTTTGGAAGTTACTGAAAACCTACACAAGTTTATGTTTTTCATTGAAATTATTACGATCTGATGCTATTTATTTAGTATTTTTGACTCAATTTTTGTTTAAGGAAGGAAGCACTTTAAATATAGTTCTAACCACCCACGGACACCTACTACACCTGGGGTTTACAGGGGTGTTGCCGACCTTTGGGGAATGATATCTTTCCTTGAAGACAATCAATCGCATCGGTTCAGAAATACTACTACTGGCATCCAATAAAACAGCAGAAAATTCCTTAAAATATATCGTATATTGATTTATGAATTTTTATATAAAATAAAATTATTTAATTAGCATACCGGTGTGCCAGATCTGTGGGTATCGCAAGCGGGAGAAATTTGGGCTTCTGTGAGATGGAGTCTATGAAGGGCAAAGACACCACTTTAGGATCGTAGTTGGCTGAAAATGTTAACAAAATATTCTTACTCATAATTGTACAATTCTACATTGTTATATGTAATTTTATTTTAAACTTAGCCTTTAAGTGATATGATTAATGATGATAACAGTGATAGTGATTATTTAAATGATCCTAATCTAAATAGTCTACAATAATTAGATTCTAGGCTAATCAGGATATAGACTACCAAAAATCGGACCTGTAGTTCCAGAGATTAGATCTTTCAAACAGACAACTTCTTAATATATTTTTTTATTTTATTTTTTTTATTACTTAGTATAAATATTTTATCCACGCTTAACAAAATATATGTTTAAAATAACAATTGTTTAACGTTTTACATAAAAATCCTTTCAACAGCTTAGATATGGAAAACTCACGAAAGGTTAATTTATCAAAAGACAATTGTACAAGGTTATAATTACGTTTTAGACTGGCACTTCTTCGTAATTAATTTAAAAATTTGTAATGATTAATAAATTGCGGCAAAAACTCGGCAATTGAATATATTTCGAGAATTGAATATTTCGAATATTTCTTCCAAATCTTGTTATAAATTTTTACGCGAGTGCTAAAGGCCGCGATCTATATTATTCTTTAAAATAGATTGTTTATAGATAATTATTGTTAAAGGAATCTTAAGCTTTTTTTATATTTATTTATTAAAGTATTCCGCATCATATATATTGCTATATCTACAGTATATAAGCTATCAAAAAAATTAAAATATTACACTTCCAATTTTAGATTTTACTAGTAACTTTTTGCTTATTGTTAACCAAAAAATACAAGTGAGAATGGGCTGTAAAACACTTAATCAACCTTTCCCTAACAGAAGCTTTTTACATTAACTCCAAAATTCACAAGACTGACAAAAATCTATACGTACGTGTTCGTGAATTCGTATAGGAACGTATTCGCACGTTTCAACGTATACACATTTCATATGATACATGCGTTCAATACTCCCAATCCGACGCTTATCAAAGACATAATTGCTTTTAATTTATTTAGTAGTAGAACAAAAGTGACTAGCCGCCGTGGTCGAATTAAACATTATTATATATCAACTGTGCTGAAAAGTTCGTAGGCTGACACATAGATGGCGCTAGTATGAACTTTTCTTTGTTTAAAAAAGCAATACAAATAAATATTTTACCTGGCCATTGAATAACTTTATCATCATACGCAGTGAGACAGCTTTCCGAAATAGGATAGAAGACATACTCCCAGCCCTTTGTGTTGTATCGCCATCCCTTGGAGTTGAGAATCAACGTCCTCTCAGTAGCGTACGCGAAAATCAGACAGTACACTATGTGATGAAGCTGGCATCCGAAGCCACAACCCTGGAAAGAACAAGGTGATTTTTATAAATCTAATATTAAACAGACGGCTTCCTCGGGATTCTGGCACAATCTCGTCTCTCCATATAACGAAAACGAACGAATTTACCCTTTAAATTCGTTATAAATAGTTTACACTGTATATATAAATTACGCGTCACGTTGTTTGTTCGCTATGGACTCCTAAACTACATAACTAATTTCAATCAAATTTGCACACCGTGTGCGGTTTCATCCAACTTAAAAGATAGGATAGCTTACATCTCAATTTAAACCCGCAATATTATTTTATTGCAAATTATTTGACAGTCACAATTTTAACAGATGGCGCTGTGTTAAAAGTACCAAAGTATATATGTTAACGTAAAATTGTAAAAACCGTTAGATTGTAATCTATCTCGCGAGATTATAAACTGTCTAAAGATTGTGAACCTCAGCGTACTGCTTACAATTTAACGTATTATTATTCGGTAGATTGTAATCTATCGAAGTGAAACCGTCAAATTGTGAAACGGCCATTTCCTACTTTTCTATTGGTTATAAGAGATGTGACATTCTCGTTTTCTATTGGTTATAAGTGATGTGACATTCTCGTTTTCTATTGGTTATAAGTGATGTGACATTATTTCCATTATTTCCTCATTTATTATTTTTAAAGTTGAACCTAATCGAATCGATTATTTCCTCATTTGTTAATTTTAAATTTAAACCTAATTTAACTATTACATTAACTTCATGTTTCAATTAGTGTATGGTTCCGAAAATTTTTAAATTATTCAAAAAGTACCCAAAACCGAATAGAAAATGGCAGTTTCACAATTTGACGGTTTCACTTCGACATATTACAATCTACCGAATAATAAAACGTTAAATTGTAAGCAGTACGTTGAGTTCGCAATCTTTCGACAGTTTACAATCTCGCGAGATAGATTACAATCTAACGGTGTTTACAATTTTACGGTGACATATATATGCAAATTTTTACACTCTAGTAGCACTTCAGGGATTAGTAGCACTCAAACCACGAAACTAACAAAATGGGAAATTTGTATCAAATAAATTCATTTTCAAGTTTTAATAAATAATTATATAATATATAGTTTGTCTCGGACTTTGAAATATGTTAAATTTTATATCGGTAAATTGCAAATAAAATTGCTCAATTATTCACAAAAAAAATGTTACGCGATACGGATTTTTAAATTATGAATCGATTTGATATGATTAATAACACATTAGTTGATATAATATTTTTGTGACCAGACAATAGTTTTAAATGCAACATAATACAAAATGTTTGGTCTACACTGTGTTCTGGGACACGTAGACCTCTTCTAGCTATACAATCTCTATGCCACACAGCCCTCGCCGTGGTTTGTAGATCATCCCTCCAACCTATCTACGAGATTTTCTTTGTTTTTTCATTATTAAAGAAGAAATAAAAAAAGCCTTTAAATAACTAATATAAAAACTCATCACTAAATGCATTTTGGCTCTAGAATATCTCTGGTTATTGAACCATTTTTTTTTTATCTATTGGAATTGTTAGAATCTCTTTTCATTAAATAATATGACGGACCCAAGTTTCTTTATTTAAAGAGGCCCAATAACAATAAGTGCGAGGTTTTCAATAACGGAAGAAATTATATTTAATAACCGGAGGCCGAGATTAATTATTACGATAGTGACCTTTGTGTAAAGGTTATCGCAAAAAACATTGACATCAGTATCCTCTTAAGTAAATAAAATACTATAGAGAATAATAATAAAGACGAGCCCCGCGTGCGATTGTGACGAAATAACCGGCCAAACCGTTCATTTACGTGTTGAATGTCCGACTTTCGAAAGAGCCATGGGTATCCCGGGCTATCCTAAGATGTTGCTCGACCACAGACAACAGATCGCTTCGCAATAAAAATTCTGCCACAGCATTGTCAAATATGTCAGTAAGATGAATAGCACAAGAAGTCACGCGGGTCCCACTGGCCATGAAGATACTTCCGGAGTATTTGTCGCCTGCATTGTTAATCAAATAAAGTTCCTTTTTAGAAAAGTGGAGATTTGACACACGGAGAGGCTATCAGGGACCTATGTATAAAAAAAAGTGTGGCACTCGGGGACTGCCGCGGTAAAGCTATTGCATAGCGTTTTTTCTCAACTTACGCAATTTTTTTATTGATGCAGTTTTTTTTTCTTTGATATAGGTATCTACCACTCTACCCGACTCAGACTAATACGCCTATATAGTCTGTCTCACTCTAACGCGTACCGGCTGCACCGGCCGCGCTTTTGCTACGTCACCGATCTCGTCAGAGAGATGTGAGACGCAGTATGCGTTCTGTCCCGCTCTAACGCGTATTGGCCGCACCTATTTTACATCGTCGTGTGTTATGTTTTTATTTTCGTTACGGAATTTCTTGATTCGGTCGCCGCGGTTAACAACCGGTTTTTTTATCTTGCGATATTTTTAACATAATGGTTAGCTAATATTTTTATTTGTTATAAGGTTTTATATTAAACAGTTAAAACAAAATAAGGAAAAATAAATCGCTTTTAATTATAAACTCTTATCAGACGTTTCAATATCGTTTCCTTGTTTTACAAATTGAGCATCATCTTTAACAAACAAAAACATTTTCTTAACGCGTTTATAATAAGATATCACTTAGGAGTATACACAAGTTCTTTAATGTACTATAAACGTTTAACATATGTCACTGCACACACACGTGATCATAACATCTCCTGCGTGGTCAGTCGGCGTCAAAGAGCTGTTTTTGGTGCAAGTCACCGCTAGCAAGGCATGAGCGCGCCTCACAACTCTTTTCTCGTGAGTTCATGCATCTGTGCTCCAATGGACTTTCTTTCGCAATTAAATTCAAAATCAAAAATCATTTATTCATATAGGTGAACTACACTTATGAACGTCAAAAAATAAATATATATGAAATGCTTCTAATTTTACATTTACTGCCAGTTCTCAAATCAAGGGCGTAGAACGGAAGAGAAGAACTGGCAATAAACTCTCAGCCACTCTTTTTAATCGCCAAATCGTGGCGCACGCCATCGGCATGGCATGGCACAGAAGGCTGATATATATGGCAACTATTTGTCTATTAAGGGAATAATATCACAAAACAAATTTGAAGCCAGGAATTAGCTTGGCTTCGAAATCCTTTATATACCTTGAATGTATGATGATGGATGAATTAGAAACTGCCAAATTACACATGCAAATGTCTTATACGAGGAGATAAATTATTTATTATGTCATATTCCACGGTTGTATACAAAAACTTTCACCTAACAGATGGACCGATCAAGTGAAAGACTCATCGTCCTCAAAACTGTACGCTGTTACAAAGATGCGCTGGATAGAAACCGGTGGTAACGGATTGTCCGTTCCAGATGTTTCCTTGCTGACCATGACGCTCATACATGAGCTTATCTACTAAAGAGAGAGAGATAGAACAAAACTCTAAGAGCTCTCCCACATTATTGATTCATTGTACCTTTAAAAATATAATCACCTCCTTGAAACCATTATATAGTACTATACCTGTGGGAAGTTTATTAAATAGTTTGATTGCAATGGACTATTTTTTTTAATACAGCGCGTGCGCGTTTTTGACAGGTTACAGGCAAATATATTTCAAAGTTTTGAATACAACTAGTCTGTACTTTTTAACTGTGATAACTGATTCTAGAATATATAAAGTCTTTAGCTTACAAGAGGTACGACACATATAATAGCCCTTATATTTTTTTCTAAGTAATAAAAACGTTATTCGCCCATAAAAGGATACCATAGCGCAGAACTGAGGCAACCTAAGATTTCAAATACATCATCCAATTAAAATCTTAATTACAGTGATAACTCTAAAACAATATTTAACCGCTGGTTTAACGTTATCAAGACCGATAACAGTTTTTATTAACACATGAAGGGAACTATGATTAATCGTTTCGTAGTACGTAAGTTTCATTTATTACATCTTATACCGGTTATAAATAAATATAATATAAAAATGATAATTATAAAATAAAATAAAGCAAAAATCTTACAATTCAGGAGAATTCCAGTTGTTATGGTCTAAGTTGTGAAGAAAATACTAATTGAACTAAGTTATAGTGAACGAAATTTTTGATATGAATTTGTGCGCTCTTTTCTTGAAGGACCCTAAGTCGAATTGGTTTGGAAATACTTCAGTGGCCAGCTGGTTCCACATACCGGTGGTGCGCGGAAAAAACTGCCTTAAGAAACGGTCAGTTGTGGAACGACGACGGTCGAGGTGAAACGGATAGATAATATTGAACTTATTGGTTCTGCTATTATTATTTCGATAAATACAGTTTTTTTTAAATTAACACTTAAATATAGAGACCTAATTAGGGATGCTTATGTCTTCTATGAACGCATCCACAAATCCCTTCGTTCGTTCTTCGCAGTCTTGTTCGATCTTTCTCTCTCACACTTCCTCAATACTCTTAAAAAATACTATACTTATACTTCTTTATCAACAAAGAAATATATTAAAAGGTTTTTCTTAATCAAAATGAATTTTCATTCAGTCACTGGATAAAAAATATCGGAAAATGTAATAATTTGTTCTGTTTCTTATAAATTTTGACCCATTTCAAGCAATTATTAATTATACAACATCGATGATGGGCTTTCGATTATGACATCGATGTCAATATCGATGTTTTTCTAACATCGATCATCCCAAGACCTAATAGGCCATTTTACTTCCAATCGGTAAGGTTAAATCTACTAAACGTAAATAATGACTCTGAGTACTGTAAATACGGTTGTTGACTTTTATAATTAGAGCAATCCAATTTAACAGAACATGTCATGAGTTTTTGCGTTCCGCTATGTTATTTCGCCTTTGTTTGACAAAGTAATTATATCGCGGCGTATGTATTGTCAGTTTGAATAGCTTTGAACATTTTACGTTGGCTATATTAAGAAATATATTATTTGGAAATTTCGCAACAATTGAGCTATTACAATTGCGCTTAACTCACAGTTCTGCGCTAGTGAGTTAAGTCACTTTTTCAGAACACTGTGGCTCTTAATAAATATATAATGTCGAAAACAATCAATCGTAAATTGGCGCAGTTTCCACTATTGAAATAATAAATTAATATTCAAATCTTCTCTTCCTAGACCGGAAAATAGTGTGTTTCCTAAGATGACAGTTTATTATTCACAAAGACTCATTCGAATATATACGAGATCAAAGTTGTGATTAAAAATGTTTAAAGAATTGGGCTACAACATCCGCTCGCATCGTGACCTGGTGCATGGAAACGTAAAATATACCATCTGCTTTCGGATTTCGACATTAATTTCCGACTCAGATTTATTACTATTAAATTGCACACAAGTTAACAATAACAGACGAAAAGGTCATTCGAGTCAACACGAGAGCAGTAAAATTAAATAAAACAAAATATGTTTATTATGGAATATAAGATACAGGTATCACTTATTCCACGTCATTTAATTTGAATCGGTAGACATCCCTTCTCCTCGGCAAAGAAGACAGAGGGTGTAGACCGAGAGAAAAAGACGGCGTAGAAAACTATCAAAGCAAACCATCATACAAAATTACTATGGCAATATAAGTCGGTAAGAGGTCGTAAGTTCGATCCCCGGCTGTGCACCAATAGACTTTCTGTCTGTGCGCACTTAACATTCGTTCGTGAAGGAAAACATCGTGAGGAAACCGGCTTGCCTTAGTCCCAAAATGTCAACAGCGTGTGTTAGATACTTGCCCTTTTTGACAAATGATTATGAAACAGATACAAAAATCTGAGGCCCAGAACTAAAAACGTTGTAGTTGTTTTTTTTTTGAAGTGAAACTTCTTTATCGGGGTTGGAAAAAAATTTAGTGTAACATTTTTGCATTACGCGTCACATTTTTCCGTTACGCGCCATGTTGCTTTTTGAAGTCAAACTTCTTTATCGGCGTTAAAATATGACATATAGTATGTTTTTGACTTTGAAGTATGACAACGGATTACATTTTCGACTTGAAATTTGCTAATCGCAATTTGCAGCAATTAATTTGTAAATTGTATGCTAGGCAGTGTATCAAAATTTACTGTGTTTAAAGAAATAGTTTCTAATAAGGTCATAAAGAAGTTTCACTTCTTACGTGTGTACACCTAGTACACGCACACATTTTTTTTTATTTCATACTTTGCGCTAAGTGTCGACTCTGAGTTGTCTTTAAGTAAACTCTTAACAAACTAATAAAGAGGAATCTCTCTCTCATCTAAGGAAGCACAAGGAATTTTAATCTGTTCAAAAGACAGCAATCCAAAAGGATGGTTTGTGATAAAAATTATTTTTTATACTAAAAATGCATCACTCACTTCGATCGATTAAGCTTACATATGAGATCACAGAAAGAATTAAACATTTATGAATAATATTGTAAACTTTTTGCTTTTTTATTTTATAATTATCATCTTTATATTATATTTATTTATAACCGGTATTAAAATGTAATAAATGAAACTTACGTACTAACGAACGATTAATCACAGTTCCCTTCATGTGTTAAAAACTGTTATCGGTCTTGATAACGTTAAACCAGCGGTTAAATATTGTTTAAGAGTTATCACTGTAATTAAGATTATAATTGGATTGATGTATTTGTAAACTTAGGTATAATAAATCTTCTAAATATATTGAAGGTGTCCGATTTAAAAAAAATAACTGTTTAATATATAAAAATATATACAGTTATATCCAATTATTGGAGTCCAGGGCACACATAATCCTGTGTTTGTATTTTTGATAATTTATTGAACCTGACGGCGCATCTGTCAACGTCAGACATCAGGTTGACTTTTAGCTGTCAAAGTCAGCCTAGCGAAGCGTCATTGTCGATGGTTGTGAGAGCGGCCATCTTGAGACACTGTTGTCGAGACGGCGCTCGCACACCACGCTTGTGACGAATCGCTTTGCATACGAGTGATAGTTTAATCTAGTGTTATAATTAAGTTGATGTCGTGTTGCTTAGACTGTACATTGCTCATTTGACTGTGTATTTCGATTATTAAACCCAGTGCTGATTAAACAACTGTAATTGTAACACGGACTTGTGATATTTCTGCTCCCGCCCACCTGCCTACCTACCTACCCACATACATCACACAAGATGAGGTTTGATGAAGGCCTTCCTGACTCTTCAAACCCAAAACAGAACATCTTGTTGAAAAACTTTTTTTTTATCAACAAACGAATTTATGTTTTTTGCTGGAGAGGTATTTTAATCAATTACGAATAATTAAAAAAAGGGGAGCGCGAATTGGCAAGGAACAGTAAAAGATGAAGGCTAGAGTTCTGTTACTGTAACTGTATCTGTTAAAAAAATTGTAATTGCTTTATTCTTATCTAGTATTATATTTATTCCTTCTGTTGTACTTTTTTATTATTGTAATATACATTTAATTAACTCAACTTAAGCTCAAAATAACTTTATTCATATAGGTAACCAAGTACACTTATGAACGTCAACACAAGAGTTAAATTTACATTTCCTACCAGTTCGCAAGTCAAGGGCGTAGAACGGACAAGAAGAACTGGCAAGAAACTCTCCGCCACTCTTTTTAATCGCCAAGTTTTGAATCATACAAACTGTTTGAACTAGAGCAAATCAATCCCAAGGATTGAGGAGGATTGAGGATCATTAAAATAATCCTCAAATTTTTAAAATTTCATTTTCTCATGTAAGTGAATGTTGTAATATTCTTAGACACACTTACCTTATTCAAGTTGCATATAACTTTTCTAGCGTCCCTACAATTACTCGGATTTTGAAGGTACTTGAGCCTTTTTTGCACCAGGTCACTGACATTCGCGGCTTCCTGTTGCCTCCAGTCCTGGTATCCATCTAACTCTTGAAGCTTCTGTTGGTCTGACAGTATAAAGCTGCAATGCAATATTTATGATAATTTTTTTGGTCCTTCGATCCGAAATTTACATTTCACAACATTTTAAATGTGTTTATTGAATATTAACAATGTCTCTTTGGAAGAAATTTGCCTGTTTACAGAAACGTGGAATCGTTGGAAACCATTTACGACGACATCGTTTAGAACAACATACCGGTTATATTGACCAAAATCAAAGGTCCCGGCTGATTTCTATGTATTAGGTACTTAAAAACAACGTCATCGGCTGTTACGACTATCGGTTTTTACGACCAAATATGAGTATTATTCGATGTCCTCACAACAGATTTTGATTGTACTTACTATAATTAAAAACATAATCTATGTCACTGTTTCCCAACCTTTTTTGTGCCATGCCCTACCTTAGCCCTCTCTGAAATTATTATGTATACATAATATTTAATATTTAAAAAAGTATCACTTAAGAAACTAAAAATGATAGGTTTTAGGGAAAAAATTAGGAAATTGTTATTAATTAAAAAAGTAAATTTTCAAAACATAATGAAAAATTAAATAACTGAAAAAAAAACGTATCCCTCACCTTTTTCTATGTTCAACTTGCTCCAAAATGTCAGTCAACTTCTCTATTTTAATATCACCTTTCTTAAGTTTGGTCAGCTCATGGTTGATAAAATACCAAATTTCCTTCGTATTTGAAAACACCCTTCTCCTGAGATTCTCATACTCCTCTGAAGGTCCACCCACGGAGTCGAATAGCGAACCCATGTCTATATCTTTGAGATTGGAATTCAGACTGAAAAAAAAGATACGTTTGAAACTGGCCGAAGCTCGAAGCATTAACAACTTAAAACCTGAAGTATAATGGTACCTGATTCTATATAAAACATTATTGTGATAATAAAACTATATATAATCTCTGTTATTATTTAAGTAATACATTTTAAATAACAGTGTTTTAACAAAAATTGTCATAAACATTCTATAACCTAACAATTCAATAAATGTATTAATGCTTTTTGAGCGGGCACTAACCAAAATCACTCATCGTAGATTTGATTTTATAAAAGTATGTGTTGCTTGAATAAAAAACAATAAATACGTATTGATCCTTCACTATAATTTAATAGTTGACTCTTATTAAAAACACAAAGTCACCTCCAACTTGTGCCTAACTTCATTTTAATTCTTTCGTTTTCGAATTTATTAAATATTGTATATTTTATGAGTTATTTAAAATTATTTTATTTGTAGTCTGCTGTTTAAACTTTAAAAAGAAACCAGTGGCGTAACTATACCATCTGGGGCCCGTGGCAAATCTTCTTTCGTGGCAATTCTTTTGATGGAGCCCTACCAGTAAAAATCGTCCCTACTCTGTTTGATTTTAATAAACTTAGAGATTTTCAGCGTACTCAATTACACGTTGTATATGTCCCACTAATGGCCTCCTCTCTTAGGCGAGAGGGAATGGTCTGTAGTCCCTACGCTAGCCCAATGCGTATTGGAGACTTCACATTCATCCATATAACATAATATCTCTTGGGCAGGGGCCCTCTTGGGTCGGGGGCCCGTGGAATTTTGCCAGTCCTGCCACCCTATTGTTACGCCACTGAGAGATACTAGATCGATTATCAAAGACAAATTTTAAATTGACGAAAATTTAACTTAACAAATTCATATTGCATGGCATAATGCGTTCATAAGCAAGTAACTTCTCCTCAAAATACCTTAAAAACCACTTACCCTACGGATTTCTTAACCTGAGAAATAAGTTTATTGTGCTGTATTTTGAGAGATTCTAATTGCATCGACACCGTCCTTAATCTATTTTGGAACTCCGAAACATCTTCTGTGCCTCCTTCGCATCTGAAAAGAATGTACAATTACAAGTTTCCGCTACTAGTATATGGAACCAGCTGCCCAATTAAATATTTGCAAAACAATTCATCTTAGGGTCCTTCAAGAAAACAGCCGATTGTTAAAAGAACTGCCGTCTGGCAGTGGTAGTGTCCATAGGAGAGACTCCTGCCCGTTTGTCCTGTTCTTAAAAAGGTACAATTATCTTGTGAAATTGGTATAGATACCGGCAATCGCGGGACATAAACGTCAACTGATTTACCAATCACGCGAACGACACGTCACTCTCCCGCCGCTGCGCAACTGAATTGCTTCTACGCAGGAAAGGACATTTGTTCAAGATGTTGCCGGTATTTGAAATCGCTTGTGATCCTCATTAATAATACAGTAATCCCTGCGGTCCGGGTCTACCGCGTTATAGGAAATCGCGTTGTAGCAGTATTCTCGTAAAACCATTTTTTTTAACAATTCAAATCTAGGAACACAAATATTATAAACTAATTTATTTTAATTTTATAAAAACACAATTAAAACAGGTGCAAAGTTACGCAAAACTAATTATGGACTTGACAAATCTTGACAAATGGACTGGAGAAAAAAATTGGAGCTGTTTTAATGTGGAGCCGTGATTCGACAAATTTACCAAAACTTCTTAACGCAAAAAAACGATTCTTCAGTTGTAAAAATGAAATTTTAAATTGTATGTCTAGAAATAATTATTGTTCGCAAGTAATGTATTCGGTTTCCACATTAATTGTATCGAAAGGATTTCACGCAAATTATTTAAATACAATACACCATGACATAAGCTGCAGATGTCACAGGATATATGATCTAGAAGTTTAAATACGCACTCCCCAAGAAAAATATAATTAAAAATTTGTCGAATCACGTCACCTTTAAACAGCTCCAAATATTTTTCTACATATTATCATCACTCGGCAATGCTGTACCATGCAATGTGGTGGCACATGCTCTTTAACCCCATAGAACTTCATTAAAACATTAATGTGGAGTAGAAAATGTTAATGTGGAGCCGACATTTAACAAATTCCCAAAAAAAATATACCAATTTCAAGATCTCTTGAATATATGATTCCTATCTAAAGAGCAGTGTTTTGGCCTAGTGACTTAAGCATGCTACCTTCATCACTAAGCTGTTCTGTGAGAATAGAATTTTATTTCTATAGCGCAATTACGGTGACGGCAAATATCGTAAAAAAACTTGTGTCAAATACATGACGAGAGATTACTTGTGTACAAAATAAAAAATATACAGAAACGGATGAGATCTGAGGCCTAGACCTATTTAGCGTTGAAGCCGCTGGATTTTGATTATAACTCAAAAATTAAATGTCGATATGGTCTCCAGAGAAATTTGAATTATTTTCAAACTCCAGCAATGTCATATACAGGCCCAACAGATAATATACTTTTTGTAAGAGGGTATTACCAAAAAATAAACTAAGAATAAATTGTATCAGTATACTGCTAATATTGATTGGTTTGTTCTGGCTTCCTTTAAAAAAGGAATTAAACAGTTAAACCAATTAACTCTATCCTAATATTCATCAAAATCGTTAAACAAATTTTTAAGCTTTTGCATAGATTTCATCGCGGGCGTTGAGCGCGGCGACCGAATCAAGAAATTCCGTAACGAAAATAAAAACCTAACACACGATGACGTCATATAGGTGCGGCCAAAACGAGCGGGACAGTACGCATACTGCGTATTCACATCTCTCTGACGAGATCGGTGACGTAGCGTAGACGCGGTCGCTGCAGCTGGTGCGCGTTAGAGTGAAACAGACTATATAGGCGTGTTAATCTGAGTCTGGCCCGCGATAAAATCTATGCAATAGTTTAGAAACTGCATAAATAAAAAATAACAAAATAATTATAATTGCATAAGTTGATAAAAAAAATGCTATGCTTTACCGCGTCAGTCCCCGAGTGCCACACGTTTTTTTTTATTATTCATTTTTTCAGCTAAGTAAACTATATTTCTGACTTTATATAGGAGCTTTCTAGCATAATAGGTATAAACATATTGAAGGCCAAACCAATATTAATTGGGACTATTGTATTACAAACAGGTGTTTAAAAATATTAATTCAAGTAATAATATATCAAAGTATCAAGAGCTGATCTAGCCTAGTAGAACTATAAAAAACCAGTGGCGCTACAGCCTTTTAGGTCTGGGCCTAAGATTTCTGTATATGTTTCTTGATTATTTCCTTACTAATAGGCAAGTGATCAGCCTTCTGTGCCTGACACTCGACATTTTGGGTCTAAGGTATGCCGGTGTCCGCACGACACTAGCTCGAGTATCAAATGCGCACATAGATGGTCCATAGGGGCACACCACAGCCCTGAAGTTACCTACCTAAGGTATGAGAGTCTCACGCTGAAGCCACACCGCACTCTAGTAGAACTTAACCTACCTATTTCATATAAGTGACTTCTACCTGTCAATTGGCATAAACTCACTGGATCCGCCCTTGTAAATAATCTCATACAGTATTTGTAGAATACGTTAAACAATTCTATTCTCGCTACAATACAACACATATTGTATCCAACAGGAGGAGGAGGCACCGGCACATCCTTCACCGTACAAATAATTGATATATGAACAAATAAAGATCAATCAGTGCAGGTGAATACTGAGAAGTAAAATTAGTAGTTAAGGTACGTAATGTCTGCGTATGGGAGCGTTCAAGTATTATGTAACGAATTTGTTCCTTCTCTACAACGTTACGATGCGGGGCGGGGATTGAATTACGCGTTATTGTTAATATTATTTTCGACTTTCCAGTACTTTACACCACATAATGGTAACTTTTGGGTATAAAGAGTCACTAGGTGATCACGAAATGTTTTATTATACTTGGTACAGTACTGTACTTGGGTACAGAAAAACGTTACGGCGCGTTACACAGGGCGGGGGGTCAATTCTCTCCAAAAATTGCATCGTAAGTAGAGATTTATAATCTATTACTTAATACATATAATGCAATTCTTAAGGGACAAAATAAACACAGTATCTTAATAGCAAGTACGTAATAAAAAAATTACCTGAGCGGTGATATAACGAGATACGTAACAGCGATCCATATCAGCAGCAGCACAACCGCGAATCGCTTCCATCTAGACATGTACATCATAACATATCCATTGACGGTGGGCCCGCTACCGAACGGCTTCATCATGAACGCAGACGGCACATATTTGACTATCTGAAACAAAGATTTTATTTTAAAAAAATATACATACAACTGGCCAAAAATACTGTTACATAAAAACTTTTTTTTTCAACTTTTTAATTACATATTTTGAATTTGGAACAAGTATTTTATTTTAAAAACTTCATTTGACTTTGCGCCATTTCACATATTTTTTCGTGTTCATTGTCAAATTACAATTTGTAATGGGGTGTTAAAGAAAATAGGATCGTAGTGATCGCCTTGCACAACGTGGGTATGGAGCGGTCATATTCCAGACACTTCAAAAGCCAGACATATCAGCCGTATGTTCGTTACTATCAACAGATACAACAACACTTCGTCTATCGAAGACCAGAAACGATCGAGGAGACCGCGTGCTGTTAGAACTACAAAGCTTGTTAATGCTCTTAAAGCCAGAATTCGTAGAAACCCCATTAAGAAGCAAAAATCTTATCGCGAGTAATGTTTTTACAGATATTTCTCGTCGTGGAAAATGTTTTAAAGATTAAAACAACAGCTCGGTTGATTTGAAGTTTAAATGTGACTTGTCAAAATAAAGGCAGATTCATAATCAGCGAACTCTAATTAGTATACAAACTGCATACAATTCCATGCACTAATTCCGAACCAATTCGACTTAGGGTCCTTCAAGTAAAGAGCCTTCTGGCAATGTGGGTGTTCATGGGCGGTATCATATAACATCAGGTGAGCCTCCTGCCCATTTGCCTCCTATTACATTTTAAAAAAAACTTCCTCACAATAGAGCAGCCCGCAATATCGCAGAAGTCACATGGGATTGAATGGTAACCGTTTATTTTGTAAGTCCTTTTTCTTTGATTTAGTGATATTATTTTTTATTTCATTAATCAGCTAGCTGCGCCCGGGAAGATCGTTTCGCCTCAATATGATTTTTTTACTAAGGCTACCTTTTTAGTAACTAAATACCAACATATGGAAAACATTTTGCTATGCTATCCCATAAACACTGTTCGCTTTTAAAGAATAAAAACCTAATTACAAAATATATTTTTTATTCTCCATTAAAACCTCACACTAACAAAGTTTTTTTTTCTAAATAAAAAATAAAACTAAATCAGTGGCACTACAACCTCGTTAAGTCTTGGCCTCAGATTTCTGAATCTGTTTCATGACCATTTTTAAATCTAATAGTCAAGTAGGTGATCAGCCTTCAGTGCCTGACACACGCCGTCGACTTTCTGGACATGTCGGTTTCCTCACGATGTTTTCCTTCACCGTTCGAGCAAATGTTAAATGCGCACATAGAAAGAAGAAAGAGAGAAGTCCATTGGTGCACAGCCGGGGATCGAACCTACGACCTCAGGTATAAGAGTCGCACGCTGAAACCACTAGTCCAACACTGTTCTTTTTTTTTTTTACTCGAATTCGTCAAGTCTTCGAATAATGTGCTTAACAATATTTTTGACATTCATTTTTATTTATATAGAGATAAAAGATAACAAAAACGATCATCAAATGCTGACCTGATAATTACGAACGTTACGAATAAGAATTCCATACACCAGCTATGACTATGTATAAGAAAAATCGTATTAAGATAGCATCCGGTTATGTCAAATTTAGTGGAAATATTACAAAGAAGTAAAGTCAGTGGAAATATTACAAAGAATCCCGCAGATTACATTACGCTCTGACGCAAACGTGGATAACAATTCCTTTTATGTCTAGTAGAAAAATGCCTCGAGAATTTTTCAACCCTTCGTTATTTTAAAATAGATCAGACTGAAAAGTTTTATAAAAAAAAACAAAGCGAAAAAGTTTTCAATGTCCAAAGCAGACGCGGCTTCAACTATGTCCTCCATTTTAATCTGCGAAAGGCTGGTTTGACAGCCTACGACGCGATTTTCGTCAATATTATTACACATAATTCTCATGAAATGTATTTTTATTATGGAACAGTGGGAAAACGGGCAGAAGGCTCAGTTGATGTTAAGTAATACCGCCGCCCATGGACACTTAATGCTAGAGGGCACGCGAGTACGTTGCCAGCCTGTTGAGAATTTGAACGCTCTTTTCTTGAAAGCCCCTAAGTCGAATTGATTCGGAAATACTTCAGTTTTGATTAATTACGATCGATAGGTTAAAAATAAATTTTTTTAGCTGAACAGAACAGAACCTGCTGTTTCCTTAATCTGGTCTATACATCTAAATTTTCTTCTTCTTTTGTTTTATTGTAACTGGGCACCAGTTAATTACATTGTTGTAATGTGTGTGCCCCGCCCACTTCCACTTAACTTTAACTTCCACTCAGTTTATTTTCATAGAGACAGCTGCTACCTTAGTTATTCTTCTCAATTATGTATTCTTTTGTTTTATCTATTCTTCTCTTACATCGTTCCATCTATCTTTGACACACCTATAGTTTTGTATGCTGCGCTTTAGAGAGGGCTCAAGCTTAAGATCCATGAGTTAGAACAGGTAGTACACAAGTATTGAAAAGCTTTAATTTGAATCTTTAATAACCGTTATCTTATTTTTCATGACTTTTCTATGGGTAAATTATACAGACAAAACCGTTTACGACGACATAGTTTAGAACAAGATACCGATTATATTGACCAAAATTAAAGGTGCTGGCTGAATTCTATATATTAGATACTTAATAACAACGTCATGTTACGACTATCGGTTTTTACGACCAAATATGAGTACACCCTTCGATGTCGTTATAAGAGATTTTGACTGTAATCATATTTTATTCTAAAAGTCAGTCTATTTCATTTATTATCAGTTTATCATATAGATCATGAAAAATATACGAATTAATAATATAGTACATATACATTAGTATTCAAATATGGATAATCAATTTCAATACAGTAATGGAATAAGGATGCTAATGGCATTGATTTTCTTTATTTTAATGCAATACATACAAATATGATAACATCAACAACAAACAGAAGAATAGCGTTTCTATCTTTTACTATGGCAAAAAATCGTTATCGTGTCGTACAGTGTAAATAGATAGTAATGCGACTGCAGAGCGGTGTCGTTGTGGAGCCACGTCTTTTCATATACGACCCACTTGTCTAACATAATAGAACGTAAAACAACGTAGCTTAGCCTAGCTCTATTTAAAAACGAGGTAACGCTTTATTTACACATTTAATAAAGTATTTATGATTGTATAAGTATATATGTATTTATATATTTAAAAGAGATTTATTATTGCTAAGTATGCAAACTTTGACATGTTGTAGTCATACTCAACTCTAAAATGCGAGTTGTTAATCTTACACTTATTTTTTTATATCCAAATAGAGTAACAGGCTTCAGTAACTGGCCTGTTAAAAACTTTATATATATCTCTATTTTTATGTTTAAGAAAATCTTTACCATGATAAGGGTAATAAATATAATAGTGAGAATATTTTGAGAAGTCTTATAAAAAATTTTCTCTTATTGGGGAGAACTCTTTATCTCCAGGGCCATGGTTCTACTTAAGTAGCTTGTTGAGTGCTTAGAGGCCATAATATAGTATAGCAAACACAAAAGAATGTATGAAACTGCAAGATAATTAGGCCAACCCAATAAATTAAGTATATTGGTCATACATAAAGGGAACAAATATAAAGCGATGAAGTAGCAAAGAAAACTTGTATTTCTCATGACTATATTTTCATGAAAAAATGTGTAATGTAATCATCTAAAATCCATAAAAGCAACAATATAAGAAAAATACAATCTCAAGTAAAACTGCAGCTACAATACAGCAGCTAAAGTAATAAAAAAAGCTATGTTATACATCTAAGAGTATATTTTCCAATATCCTATGATATTTAAGTATTTTTCCACTCAAAAGACCTATTCTATTTAATTTTATATAATGACTTTTGTTATAAAATATAGTTAAGTCCACCTTGACTCTACCTCAAAAATAATCAGATCCTAACAGTATATTCTGAAATATTCATGTTTTTCATTTAAAAACTTTAATTCTATTAATAATGTAAAGTTATTGTTGAATTTGTGCATCTCATTCAGAAAAACCTATGTGATCTTGACACCATGAGATAACATTTAAAGGCTTAGCTAAATTAAACAAAAATTATAAACATCATTTATATATAAGAATTTTTTACTATTATTATTTTTTGTATTCATATTTCATTATATTGTATATTAAATGAGAACAACTTTAACTAGTAATAAATCTTAACAAAGTCTATGAATTCCCTATCTTCTTAACAAAATAAATAATATTTAGGATATTACAATTACATACATATAAATGCAGATACAATGTTTAAAAAAGGACTTTATTGTAAGAAGTTGGATGTTGCCCACAAACTCTTACATTCATGATTTTTCTTTTTACATAGCTTCTATCTAATCAATTTCATCATTAATCAAGCCTGGAACTACACCACAGCATAGCAATAATATGAGAAATTAAAATATATGTACAACTGTATAGCATGTAGTTCTTAATTCTATATTACATTGGTTAGATGTCCGGATATTCACAATCAAACTAAACTATATTCTACTGAGATTATCAACCAAGATATAGAAGATATGAAACACATTTTATTAGCTACGATCGGTAGTGTAAATAGAACTAGAAGAATTAAAAATAGATAGTATATCAATTTTGAACTAAATACGTCTTACATTACAATTAGATAAATGAATTACACTTACCAGTAATAATTAAAATGAATTACACCATAAAAACACTAGTAACATATAGTTTTGTAGGGATTTATTTGTTATTTTAGTTATGTGTTTGATATTTCTTATATCATTTGAATATAATTGATAAGTCACAAATCACAACTATTTAGCATTTTAAAATTAATGTTAGAGACGTGCATCATACGACATACAATTTTGTTAAAATAAAATTGATATAGTATATAGTATATACGAAGAATCAGAACTCAGGTCTCAGAAGTCAGTTTTCAATTTTTGTATACTGTCAGCGATATATTATTTATTAACTGTGGTTAGAATATACAAGTCGCAATCATAATAAAGCAATCATATTAATAAATTCAATAAGAGCAATCATAACAAGGAACTCGACGTTAGTTGCTTTAAATTAAAACCTATTCCAATTTAAAGAATATGACTATCATTAACATTTAATCGGGTAAAGATGTGAGAGAGAAGTCCCTAAATTTGGGGTGCGGGGGGAGGGGGAGGGGGGGGGGTGTAGTAATCACCCCCCACAAATTTTGGGCTTAGGAAACCAAAATAAAAAAATCTAAAAAGTAACGGCTTTTAACTGATATTTTGCACTTGAATACTGTGAACACACACTGTTCTGGCAAAATCCAAATTCGAAATGGCCGATTGCGTTTATACTTTAAACAATGAATAGTAGAGAATAGAGATGTGAAAAATAATCTATTCTGTGAAAGTGAAAAAATCGATTATTTTAGTATTCGATTTTGAATCCGATTTTAAATCCGATTTTGTTTTCGATTTCGAGTTTCAGTTGAACAGTTATTTAAAAACAATATTAATATACGGTTAGTATATTAATATTTATATAACCTAACCTATCTAAATAATATTTGTTTATGTGGACAGCTCCGATCTAAATAGTAATTGTTTATTCAAGCCTCGGCTTCTCGGCGTCCTGGTCGCCTTCGGCGACCAAATATTCATATACTAACTCTAACCTAACCAATCTAAATAATATTTGTTTTTGTGGACAGCTCCGGCGCTACGGGAAATGCAGCCCCTCCACCCTTGCGTACCAAAGCACAGGCATTTTATTCAAGCCTCCGCAACCTCGGCTTTTTGGTCGCCTCTGGCGACCAGCCTCAGCCGCTACAGCTTTCATAATGCCTGTGCTTTGTTACAGCGGGTGGGGGCTGCTCTTCCTCCGCGCCTCCGATTATTTATATACACTCTAGGGGTAAGGCAGACAAGACCACGTGGATAGTGGGGTGCTCTGATTCGGTTTTGGGTACTATTTGAATAATTTAATAATTTTCGGAACCATACATTAATTAAAACATGAAGTTAATGTAATGTATGTACATTTGACAAGTAATGCTTAAATTAGGTTCAACTATAAAATTAACAAATGAGGAAATAATCGATTCGATTAGGTTCAACTTTAAAAATAACAAATGAGAAAATAATCGATCCAATTAATTTACCGAAAATGTCACATCACTTATAACCAATAGAAAACGACAATGACACATCACTCATAACCAATAGAAATCGAGAATGTCACATCTCTTATAACCAATAGAAAAGTAGTTAGATAATGGCGGATTGTTTATAATTTCAATACAATTGACAAAAGTTAAAAAAATTTTTTTAAAATACTTTGACGCTTATCCTAAAGCTAAAATCACTTGGAGGTGTTCCAATCAAGGGTCCCCGAGACTCCTGCATAATCAGTATCATCAAATTCCAACGCATGGATATCAACCCCAACCCTTTAATCGAATACTTTTTTGACATACGGGAGTGAAGCGCTAATGGTAAGTTTCAGAAACAAAACTGACTATCATGTATTTTCCAGTGTCGAAACCTAATATATTTATATGTTATCGTTGCTCGAGCGTTTCCCTTGCTATATTTGATTAGTTTAAAGTAGTGCTAAGTTTCGACTCTAAAACTTACTCTCAGTCTCGACAATAATTAAAGCTTATTCTTAATTAACAAACCCTTAGGAGAAGAATTTTTTTAAGGATATATATCTACTTGTTTAACTTTCGATAAATTTGGAATATATAATAGAGTTGATTACGCTGCACCGATTGGAAGAAAAAGGGACTTAGCCGATGATTTGAAAGAAATATTTGAGAATAAAAGCTTCATTTAACTCCCTGTTACTCTTATAGGCAGCGGCACGTAAGTCTAGCGCTGGCCGATACGTGGAGGGGATTGCTGCGCATGTGTACTGTCGCGCGGGGGACGGGATGCGACTGGAGAGCCAATCGACGCTCTTCATTCCGCTAGCCCCCCTCAGGTACCTTATTTTTTACTTCTGCGCATTAACGGTCAGCGCTAGAGTTTCGTGCCGCTACTTGTACCGGAAGTTTACGAAATCGAACTAAAATGATAAAAAACTAAATGTATCGTATTCAATGCACGGCCAAAAAAGGATTTTTATAAACTTCATACATTTTTTTTCACGATAAAAAAACCCCTGTTGCCGATATCGTTATGGAGATATTCGTGGTTAATTTTGGACGTTTCAGTAGCGTTCCATGAACTGCTGTTCAGCTAAGTACGTCCACTATATCAAATTGCGTTTTAATTTTATTAAAAATCGTAAATTTTTAATCAAAATTACATAATTTTTCATGACAAATTATAAAATGCGAACAGAAATGATTGGGCATTGACATTTCCACATGAAAATGAACCTTAAAAAATAAATAGATGTACTGTGGATTTGACCTTTCATATATACATCCTTAAGTTCTTTTTTTAAGTAAAGTTCAGTTCAATGAAGTTGACAGTTAATTTTAATATGGCCAACGACAACTCACAAATGTCAAATGTTACTGTTACTGTGATTAAAAAATAAATGTACACTGTCACTCTCCTCAAATACAATCCAATGTTAAATATGCTAAAATCTTAATAGTAAATAGTAATTACCGTAGAGTCTGGCTAATGAAAGTTGATACTGAAAAAGCGCGGCAAATTTAAAAAATATCAGCATGGCAGCCCTAAAGTAAAAAGGAAAGTTGGAACAACTCACTTTGATACTTTGACATTCATTTTTATTTTACTAGTGGATGCTTGCAATTTTGTCCGCGTTATGAGACCTCCAGACCCCTTCGTTCACCGTTCTTTTTGAAGTTATACTTCTTTAGGCGCGTTATGAAAAATTTATGAGAGTGAAATTTTACTATGCGCGCGCACCGTGACACAAAATTATCAGTATGGTCGCCGAGCGTGCGCGAGCGAGATGGGAATAAGACAATCTACAAGTAAAAAGAAATAGAATATGCGTGACGTCAGCAGCTATGCCAAGAATTTTGAATGACCATAATGACATTTTGTAGTACCTTTTAAACAAATAAAGGAGTTTAAATTTTTTTTTTAAGAAATTTAGCAATGCTTTATCACAAAGACCTATTGTTACTTAGTTAAAAGGTTATGAAACCTACCTAGTTATTAAATTAAATTAATAATATAATAAAATAATAAATAATAATTATTATTAATATTAATTAATTATTGAATAATATACTAAATATTAAATATTGTTAAATTATTAACGCTAAATATTTATTATTAATTATTTAATATTTAAAAAAAATAAAGAAAGCCAAAGAAGTATAACTTCTTATGCGCGTACATAAGTACAAGCACCTTTTTTTTAATTCTCTTCAATGTAATAACACTTACATCTGTAAAAAGAATAAAATAAAATGTCAATTATCGTGAGTCTCATAACTGGAGAAATAATAGAAAATACACAAGTATTACAAAACTAGTCTAAGATTAACGTTGAGTGAAAACTTACCGGTGAGTGAAGATAGTTCTTCTAAGTACTGGTTATATAGGTTATATAGTACTGCGATTTCATCAATTCTTTTTGATCTAAATCTGTGACCTTTTCAATTGCTTGTTTTACTTCAGCAGTTCGTGAATTATCCTAAAGACTATCTATAAAAGAACAATAACATTATCTAAAGTAACTAAAACTAATATGTACTTATTTAAAATAAAAAAATATCAAGACATTTTGACCGTACTAACTTTAGTGTTGTCATATAAAAAGTTTGCAAAAAAATCCAGTAGTTCATATTTCATTCCCATTTCCCAGTATATATTATTTCTCTATGGTTCATACCTAATAAGAATTTAACTGTCGTCGTTTGGAGTTTGAATTTACCTACCGTCAGGGCTACTTGATTAAATTCTAGATTTTAGTAAACTTTCATATTATTATTACTTAATTTCATGGTAAAATGCCGAAAAAGCCAGCAAAAACTGCCTTTTACTACTTCGCTTTAGATTATAAAGCAGAACAAGCGAAAAAGGGAATTCATTTACAGAACTTGGCGGAGGCGGTGGAAGCGGCATCACCAGTATGGACGGTGAGAACTTAGTATTCATAATTCATATGATCTGACCCTCGAATGCCAGGAATGAAAGAATAAAAGTAGCCTACTTACACGTGCCAATGTCATTTCGAGAACAAAATCTTCGTATGTAATTTGGGTCTTAGACCAAAAATACATGTATTTTTATCAGCACATTTTTTAATTACATACAATTTTTTACTAATAATAATAATATTGTGGGTGATAACGTTATGGGGAGTTTTGTTGTCACTCTACAACCAGGACCATTGTTAAGATCTTGTTAATCTAACTAGATGGTGCGTTAGGTAATTGTTTTCATGTAAATGAGTATTGGTACATGGTATATGTGTTTTGATAACTATGATGATTTAATAATGACCTCACAATTTTAGTCTGCACAGCCATCTGTCCGAGCGAAATATGAAGCAAAAGCAAAGGCAGAGAAGAACAAAAACAATGTGCCCCAAAAAAAATACACATCTTATGGCGTCCCAATTAGTGAGATTATCAGACACGAACAAGAGCTAAAACAAGCTGAAGAATATGAAAAACAAGATATAAGCAATCTCGTGGCAATTAACAAGATTTCTGGTGGTAAGTAAATGTTTAATCTCTTTAAATTTAGTTCCTGAGTGTCAGCAGAAGTGGTAAGTAAGTTTATAGCTTGTAACATTTGACAATAGTATTAGGTTTATATTTAAAATAAAATAAAGAATATTTATTTTAATAAATAAGTTTCACTACACTGGTTTTTAACTTTGATTTTTTCTTTAAATCAAATCAAATCAATATACAGAACCAAACCAAAGTTTTGTCAGTTATGCTTTTGATGTTACTGCTGTTTAATATTTTATTGGTAGTAAATGGTTATTAGGGCCTTTAATGTTAAATATGAACAAACTAGTTATACATTTATATATATAGGTAGTATATCTTTATATTTACTTTATTGTACATATTTTATAGGTACACCAAACATAGATATTTATCTCATGGATGTGAATTATTATTGCAAAATAAAGGAGGACTATTTAATTGGAGAAAGCACAATGTTAAGGTTCACTCTACAGGATGGCTTAGATGAAGTATACCACGAGATCATTAATCCTGGTAAGTCCAAAGGTTAATAATAGAATATTAAAATCTTTGGTAAAGTACTATAGTCCTAATACACCATTTCAATCAAAGGTTATTTAATGAAGAAATTCCACATCAGCTACTATTAAAGATAATCTGTTGTAATAAAGCACCCCTAATTACTTACAATCAACATTCTTAATTCAGCATAGACATAACATTAATTACAAACAAAAACACACACGCATAAAGTAACAATAATCAAAGAAATAAAAAATATATATTAGAGCGACTAATGGGCGTATCGGTGGAGTAATTTTTTTTCACATTGGGGTCCGAATTAAACAAAAAGTTATAATTTGAAAAAATGTTATATCATATAACTTAATATTTATTTATTTAATATTTATTTTATTTATTATCTTGAAAACACTCAATAAACAACTAGAAATAGTATGTCTAACGCAAGAACTCATCAGTACCAATCTAGTGGATATTATGAGAAAGATACAGGATGTAGATATTTTGGAATTTTAATAAGCATTAGTAAAAAAAGTCAATTTTCATATAAAAACCAAAATAAATCGTAACTCTGCAGGGGTTGAGCTTAGAGACCTCCCGTAGAACAATTTTTTGCCGCTGATGACCTCATCTATCCCCTATTTGCGTTTGATCCACGACTTTTTGGCCACCCTGTATAGTATTAATTAGATATATTATTTAGATTTTAGTATAGTATTTTCATTATTTTATAAATGTTCAGCTTTTTTTAGCTTTAAGACCGCTTATAGTCTAATTTTATGTAACGTAACTTTTTAAGAAAAAACAATAGTTGATGATTCACACTTAAGTATATTGAGAAAACATGGAATAAAAATTATTCTTATGTTATCAATTTTTACTTAAAATTTTGTATATTTGCAGGTGGCATTCCAATGGGCTATGCATATGATGTTAAACTCGGTTCTAAAGAATTTGGATTAGAAATACCAGATGAGACAAAGAAACCGAGTAATTACATGCAAATTCTTGCCAATATCATTGAATACCTTAAGAAGAGCAACCCGAGTGTTGATGTTTTGCCTCCAATATTTGTGATGCCTGATAAAGTGCCTATTGTCTCAAATTTTTTGTCTCAAATGTGTAGACAGGCTGGTAAGAAATTAATATACTATTTAATAGAAGAAAAAAAGTGCAAAGTACACATGTCAGAAGTGAAACTTCTTTGTAAATTAATTATTACTAAGGTTAAAGCCCCAATAGATGATCATGTACCAGTATATGATCACTCCAATTATTTGTATATCTATATTCACACAGTATACATGCTTATGATTTGCTTCATGCTACATTTGCACTTTCTCACTCTCTCTCAATCGCTCTCTCCCTTTTCTTTGACAAAAACGCTGCACATCTTCGAGACGCTAATATTAATATTGCGTTTCATCCATAAAAATTTTACCCTCATGCACCTAAAGAAGTTTCACTTCAAAACTAAGTTTGTTGCAATTGTCTGCATCTGTTACATTAAAATTAATTAATATTATATATTAATAATTTTAAAAGTCATCAGCTCTTTTGATGTCTTTGTTTAATTTTTCTCGCGTGTAGTTTCCCAACCTTTTACTTGAAATTGGCATAAAGTCAAAACTATTGCCATAATATAAAAAAAAAAAAAGTCATCAGCTGTTGGAGCCTACCAAGCTGATATTATTATTTTCTCTAAACCAAATTGCAATTTGGAGCCTATAACAGAGTTTTTGAGTTTTGAGAGTTTACGAATTTCTCGCCAAAATGGACATTTGACATGGACAACTATATCGTACATACGAATTTGAGTAATATTTTGTTGGATAAAACTTTAGTAGCAAAAATGTCAAGCAACACCGACGATGCCGATGAAAATTGACATTCTAGAAACAGCTGCGAAACTGACGAATAGTCTTTTGCCAGAAAAATCAAGAAAAGCGTACGACAATTGTTACCAAGACTTTATGACTTGGAAACCTGTAGCCATGAGATTAAATAAAGTAGTGTATGCAACTGCATATAATTAGGTATTATATGACAGTTGCATAAACTACTATACTGTTATGATATGCTGTGCGATATATTTATAATTGTTTAAACAGGGGAAGTGGAATCGATCTTCCGTGTGTACAGATTGGACACTTTATTATACCACTTAGCCAATGTCCATGAAACATTCAAGAAACAGATTCCAACAGAGGCCATTGCATTGAGTATGTTGAAGAAGGATTTGTTCTTGTACACACCGCAAATTGGATGCGATGTAAGTATTTAGACTCTCTCCCTTAACTATGGCGAGGCGGCCGATAACTGGCCATGCGTCATACTCGTGAACGGGTGCTAATTGTGGTGAATGCTCGTACTTGAATTCGTGTATGCGGTGATGTTAGTTGTTTCGACTGTGTATTTGCGTGTTGTTCTCACAAGAATGTAAGTGCGTGCTCCTATTTCACCATGCCTCCTGCTGATAGAGGATAAATCTTCAGTGCATTTTGGAATCTTGAATAGATGATAAGGGAATGTATGTTTTTAGCACCACAACAGTATAGATATGACCCAAGAGTGTTCGAAGTCGCGTGTGACCCGTCAAGCGTTCACCATAATGGACCATTGCTGCTATGGGTTTGCCATTCAGCTCAAACTGGGAAAGCATTTACCGGCTGATGTAGATTTGGAAGTAAGTTATTTTTGAAGGCTAATTTTATTTGGAAGGATTTGATTATATGGAATTAATTTAATTTAAGTATGTAATATATTTTACTATCTATATGAGCAGTGTTGGCCTAGTGGCTTCAGCGTGCGACTCTCATCCCTGAGGTCGTAGGTTCGATCCCCTGCTGTGCACCAATGGACTTTCTTTCTATGTGCGCATTTAACATTTGCTCAAACGGTGAAGGAAAACATCGTTAGGAAACCGACATGTCTTAGACCCAAAAAGTCGACGTCGTGTGTCAGGCACTGGAGGCTATTAGATTTAAAAATGATCATGAAACAGATTCAGAAATCTGAGGCCCAGACCTAAAGAGTTGGTAGCGCCACTGATTTATTTTTTATTACCTATCTATCTATATATACACTACGTATCTTTCAGATGAGAGTTGTTGTTAGAATGAAGCTTAAATTATTTGTCATTTATGTAAATGATCCTAATATTTGGGATTGATTTGATTTGAAGTGGCGGAGAGTTTCTTGCCAGTTCTTCTTGCCTGCTCTACGCTCTTGACTTGCGAACTGGTAGTAAATGAAAATTTAGAATCAATTAAAAAAAAAAATCTGTTGACGTTCATAAGTGTACTTGGTTACCTATATGAATAAAGTTATTTTGAGTTCGAGTTTACTAAAAAAAAACACATTTTTTAAATCAATAAAAAAACTAATTTTTCAACGCATTTGCGAGCCCTCTGGAAATGTGAGTGCCCATGGGCGCCGGCCTCCTGCCCGTTTGCCTCCTGTTACATAAAAAAATATTTAATCATGAGTATATCAGAAATATAGCTGATTAAAAAAAGACCATCTCGATATGACTTTGCTTAGGGTAAATTTGTACATAATAAAAACACATTATTTACAAACATGAGCACCTCAAAATCAGGACTGTCAAAGAGGAGATCAAGACCTGGAGTATGAAATACAGAAAAAGGCTAGAAATGCATCCTAATAAGCTTGCCACGCAACTAACCATACCGGACCTAATAAATAGGCTTAAAAGGCGACAAATCCTAATTCTTGATAGACACGGAAAAAAAAATTTACAAACATACATTAATTTTTTTTTTCTCGTGGGGAAATGCGTTACGCATACCCTCCCGCGGCATGGTTGACCTGGTGGGGAAGGGTTATGTGGGACTCGCTGTTGTGCATAACCCACTAAAACCCCACGGCGCCACCAGCAATCGCCCGGGGCAGGACACGGTAACAGCGTAGCCTTGTCCGCATCCAGCCACGCGATCAGCCGTTAATATTACGGTCCTCTACGGCCACGAATGATGTGGAATGGACCTTGGCACAGCAAGGGCCTTTCACATCGGCCAATTCATCCTGTTTTATAGAGCTGGGGGAGGCCGGGACAATGCTTGCAGGGATGTGTGAGCATCCCTTCTTAAACATACATTAATAGATCATCATACTTTATTATGAATGTAATTGTTGTGTAAAAAGTAATTTTTTATATAATTAAATTTCAGGCAATAATGGAGATGAAAGAGAAGAGGCAAGTTGATCCTATATCTACGGTTGTAAGTATCCCTCATTTTTTTATGCGTAAGCAAACAGTCTTTTGATTTTCTCTTCAGATCGAAATGATATTCTTGTATTTAACTAGCAATGGTTCATTCAGTTATAGCGAAAAATTGTGTATAGAGAAATAAAAATAAAAACCTTTTAGTACTTTAAAAGAGTGGTCGTACAAAAAAACACTTTTTAGCTTTATATATTACAATTTTAAAAAAATCGTTACACTAACTCGATAATTGCATGGCAAATTTTGTTGGTTTTGGAATTGAATGAATATAGAAAAAAACAAAAGACAACTACTTGGATTTGCTTTAACCCGTCATAGACAAGACAAATTTTTATATTATCGCTCAATCTGTGCAAAATCTCTAAGGTTTGTATAATATAAGGCTTGTCTAGAAATCTCATATAATTGGAGTGAATAGTACAAGAGACTGTGAGAGATATTCATCATAATGAAATATGAATGCGAAAGACCGTATAGTAATTAATAAAAATAGTTTTATTGCACTTTTATCACAGTCTCTTTCTGTCAAATTGTGTTAATGCTGCGATGAAAAGAGAGAGAAAACAAACAGGTTCCAGACCGATTTATTTTCATATAGTGTACTCTTTATATCGTCATTCGTAAAAATGAGTTAAGTTGTTTGGTTTAACAGAAAACCCATACATTAATTCACTCTTTATAATGCAACAGCCATTCTCTATTATGAAGAAATATTTTCATAATTAGATATTAACAACATACTTAAGTGTAATTGTTTTTATAATCAGCTTACAAAACTAACCTATTACCAAAATTTCTAAGAAACACACCTGAGGTCAAACAGCCGTCTCGCCTTTGTTATTGTTAATTGCATTAACACGTGTGCCATTATTCTTAGATTACATTGCCTGTAGGAAACTTTGGTCTCAGTTACTATACGCACCCTATTATATAAATTATTGTAATTGGTTAAATTTGGTGTTTTTTTTTTTTTCCTGCATATAACGAAAACTTTCTATAAAGACGAAAAATGCTCGGTCTCTTGACATTAGTTATAAAGTACTCTGTCATTTAAAAAAAAGTGTGTGTGTACAAAGTACACATGTCAGAAGTGAAACTTCAGTGGCAAACTAATCTTGAAGTATTGTTCATATTTATTCAAATCTAAAAGTTTAGATTTCCGATACTTAGAGGGACGGAAAAAGGAAGATATTATGTTAGGAATTAATGAATTTAATTGTCATTAAAATATTAAGTGTCGAATAATAAATAATGTGACGGTAAATTTTTCCAACGCCGATAAAGAAGTTTGACTTCAAAAAGGAACATGGCGCGTAACCGAAAAACGTGACGCGTAACGAAAAAATGTTACACTAAATTTTTTTCCAACCTCGATAAAGAAGTTTCACTTCAAAAAGTGACGTTACTTTTACGATATATGAAATGCGATTTTCAATTTTATAATTTTACAGGCGAAAATGAGTGCCCTGTCGATAAGCTGTAGTTCGCAAGCATCTGCACCTGCAACTGCAACTGCGTCAAGCAGTGCCAATACATCTGTACTCTGTAAGTGTTAAAAAAAAAACGCAAAACTACGTCATACCAATACGTTTTTATTTATTTGAACTAGAAGTGAAAAACTGTTTGCCGGGGTGAAGTTATGTATTATTATAAATTTACAACTATTAACAATTACAAGTGTTGAAAAAAACAAGCAAAACCTTATCTGTCTTATACCAATACAAAAAAGGAGTTTTTGATTTATTTGTTCCAAAAAAAAATTTTTATTTTTTTAATACGAACTTCAATCCGGTCAACCGGTTTTTCTTTAAATGTGAAAGTGACAAATACTAGAAGTATTTTTATTCATCTTTTTTTCTTTTCTTTCAACACAAATTATGATTATAAACACATGTATATCAGTATTTAACCTAATATTATCTCGTTATATTCTCTATATTATCCTCAACGGGACATTTTGAGAATACAAGGGGGGGGGGGGGGGTTTATAAAAACAAAAAAGCGGGGGGGGGGGAGGCGGGGGCGGGGTTATTTTTTCTAAAAAAAAACCTCGTTAAAAAAAAAAGGGAGAAGACCGGCTGGGGGCCCGTCTCTTAACTGTTGTATCAAACAACAAACACTGTACCATACATACATACAAACACTTTAGTGCATTTAAATCTTAAAATAACCGGTACGAACTATTAGAGGAAGTCCCAGAATAATTGAGGCATGGACCTCAGATGTTGATAGTGATTGATAATGTGTTGTATATGTTTGTCTTCTGACAATTACGCCCAAAATTTATACACTACCCTCAATTTATTACTTTTTTCGACACAAGTAACAAAGTGTTGAAATGTCAGTCAACCCCTTGTACGACCCACTGAAGTATTTCGACTTTGAGTCCTTCAAGAGTAGAGTGTACTAATTCTTAAAAGGCCGGCAACGCACTCGCGAACCCTCTGTATGCGAGTGTCTATGGGAGGGATCACCTATCGTTTGCCCCCTGTTCTATATAAGAAGTCCTAATCGAGTCGAAGTCCAGTCGAGTCTGACTACCTTATATTAAATATTAGGCTTTATCGTACGGTACTTCCGTTCTAGCTGTTCTATTGTTTATTGTTCTAGCTAAATCTTGTTTATGGTATTATAAGAAATGGTTTTGCTTTATTTTATATTAAAATTTGTTTTCAGCACAAAACAAACGCGTCATGACGCCGTTACGTAGACCTGTTGACTTACGTAAGTATTTCTATTATTTGTTTATTTTATACAAAATTACTAATAAATTATAAAATTATGCGATAGTAAAATTTGTAAGAGTTGCGAAGCATTTTTATTTAGAAAGTTTTTATGAAAATCATTTCAATCAACAGAATACGCACTGCAACTTGCACCTGATTTGGATGAAAACTTTCCTTCTCTATCGAGATCAATGGGTCGTGGTGAGTATTCAAAATATAATATAATATCCAATGAAGTACACTATTTTACAATATAACAAGTGATCTCCTACACACCGGATTGACTTAAGTAGTTTATTATCATTTTCAAATTGAACATAAAATACTAGTGGTACAAGTTCTTGGCAATATCCTTAGATTTCTGTTTCGTGAATAGGCGTTTCAATTTCCTTATGGTGACTTCCTTCAAAGTACGAGAGAATTGTTCACAAAAGGAAAGTTCATTGGTGCACGTGACTTGAACGCATGACCACATTGTTGCTTAATAGAGCGGTGCTGGGATTAGGGCAACTAATTATTTTCCACAATAATTATTGAAACTACTTTAGGCGCATGAGGGTAAAAATTTTACGAATGAACCGCAATAATAATAATATAAGCGTCATGAAGATGTGCAGCGTTTTTGTCGAAGAAAAGGGAGAGAGTCTCGTAAAATGCCACGTATTTTTATTATCGAAGAAATGAATTCAACAAAATTAAATTTGTAATTTGTATTAATTATCGACACTTATAATATTTTAATGACAGTTAAATTCCTTACATATTATCTTCCTTTTTCCCTCCCTCTAAGTCTCGGAAATGTAAAGTTTTAGATTTGTATAAATATGAACAAGACGTAAAAATTAGTTTGCCAAATAAGTTTCACTTCTGACATGTGTACTTTGTACGCACGCACTTTTTATATGTAAATATTCGGTTCCATCTAGTTCGCTACATAATTGCGATTCGATGTTTCGTGTTTTCATTTAGTTCCAATTACGACCACAGCGCTGATAAAGGTTTTCATACAAAAATCCTTTATATTCTGCCAATAACAATTGACACTAGACTAATATGATACAAACTTATTTACAGGAAAGAGCAGCGGCTCCATCAACAGCCAAAGTAAATTTAAGTAATTTCATAAAACAAAAAAAAAATACGTTATTTTACTTAAGTCGTAAATGTGATTAAACAAGTACTCGGCACTCGGCAGAGTATAAATCTCATATTTAAGATGTTTTTTTTTTCTTAAACATTTATAAAACGTTGTAATGCTTTAAGCAATGATTAATTGTTGGTGTTTTTTAATATATAATACATAGACTAGAAACGTCGAATGGGAGAGCTCACATGACAGCTGTAAAATTTAGAGATAAACAAATGACATTGACACCTCATAAGTCTTCCATCTGTCAAATGATGTATTGATCTTTTGGCAGTTTTAAGAAATATTTTCACGTTAATCTGTCCTTAAGTCTAAACATTGAAAACTGAAAATTCTAATAAAGTGTCGAAGTGAAATGCGCTAATAAATATAATTTGACATAAACACAGCCTGTCAAGAATAATTTGGCAAGCTAATGGCGGCTACTTCTGTCATTTTTGATTACTTTAGAAAGCTCATTAATAACCCTTATGATGTGGGCTCTTTTTTATTATATTATTAAGATTTTGTTGATAGACAAGAAATGTATCCAGACCACCTAAGTTTAAGAAATGATATTTGACATTGAATTTTGAGTATAGCGAACGCTGACATTTGCTTTTACAAAAAAAAATTAAGCCGCGCAGCTATCGAATGATAATCTACAATTTACGATATCTTTCAAAATCAGTAAGCAGTCAAATTTTACTACTTTTTGGATATAGAGACTAGAGAGCGATCTACCATTCTCCTTCATACGAGAAATATTTGTTGTAACTACCAGATTTGTAAAACATTTTTAACGCCTTTTCAATAAGTTGTTTTGTTTAATTCGTTTTAAACGTAGATATTACGAAATGATGGTATTATTAAAAAAACACAGGCTTATAGATTGACTTTAAAAATAACAAAAAAATATTTTTGTAAAGCTTATGCTAATATTAGTACTTTATCACATAAGTGTTGCCAGCAAAATGTTACCTAAGAGATATTTTCTAAGAGAAATAGCTACTTAAGTGAGGCATTTATTACATAAAATAGATATAACCTTTATACACGCGTTAAAATGATAAGTCGGCGATTAAATTTGACACATTGTTCATGACAGTTGACTTTTTGTTTATGTCTGTTTCAGTTTTTTTTTAATATTTGCCTAAAATATTGTATTTTCTCGTTTCGATAAAATAATTTCATTTTCACTAACGTGGTAAAATTTCTAATAAACATAAATCAACTGTCAACTGTCATTTGAGTTTAGCAAGAAAATTAGCTGAGACCAACTGAGACGGCTTGGAACATCCAGTACTAGAACGGCGACGCCATTATTATTTTTAATTAAAAAAATATAAATTTCCTCCTGTCTTTCATTTGGACCTTGCTTGCTATGTATTCCGTTTTATTTTGGGGGACCCATAGACACTCATAAATTTAATATTTATGAGTACATATATATATCTAACAACTATTTCTACCTGAAAAAGTCGACACTGCTGTAGTGTCAGTTTTTTTTTATGTAACAGGAGGCTCATCTGATGTTAAGTGAACCGCCGCCCATGAACACAAGGCGCGCAAGTGCGTTGCCGGCATTTTAAGAAATTGTACGCTCTTTTCTTGGACGGGTCGTAAGTCGAATTCTTTCGGAAATACAGTATTTGCCCACTGAAGTACTTGAAATACTTCAGTGGGCAAATACTATAATTCACACTTTTCCAGTGCACTCAATACTTTAAAAACTATACGTATAAGAACATAATATTCAATAAAATTTTAAGATATATACGGTACGAATTTATTTTAATTTACTGTTATTTACCTTAATAAGTAATTAAGGATTAAAATCAAAGTTTTAAATTAAAAAAAAGGTGGAAAATCTTTTTTTTTAAATTGCTTGGGTTGCGCGTGGCTCGGGCGATTGCCCTGTTCGCCACCACCTAACGCAGCCCCTGCTTAGTGATAATATTTACGTCCCGGTCGTAGGTATCTACAATATTTAATCCTACCGAACACCAATGGGCCGGCTTGCCGTTTTTGGCCGTCGTCTAAGTAGTATGAATTATTGGCAATGTTGTTAAATTTAGTGCGAAAATATGCATATTATACCCTTGCACAAAAATGTCATAACGTTTTTTCTACGTTGTATAATATAACCTATTAAAGTATAGTTTGAAACACGTAAAAAGCTTGTGTATCAATATAGTCATGAACCATCCCCCGAGATGGTAAAAGTAAATAAAACTCCTTATTTATAACAAATTGTAATAAATACATAATAGCTTATGTAAAATTTAATCAAAATCGAAATATAGATTTAAAAACATTAATATTGGTGTCGATGTTCGTTGTGTTCCTTAATCTATGAATATAATAGAATTATCTTTACATTAATTTTATCAAAGTAATTTACCACGTTACACACTTAGAACTAGTTCCAGAATCTCACTCATCTGTTCAGCGCTAGACTATACTATGCGCGCAGTAGCATGGTCCGTGTGACAGTTTCAGTAACGTTTCGTTTCACTCTTGAAAGTTGCCCCGATTTACAAATTATGACTTAGTATTTCAGCTGTACCACATTCGTATTAAATCATTAATAATTGTAGTAACTGAAATTTAACCCAGAATGTTCTAGTCTATAAATCAAATTGAAAGAAAAATTATGCAACTGTCACCCGCACCATACTACAGCGCACATTCTATATAATAATAAATTTTGTTGGAATCGGTTCGGTCTAAACCTTCAATAAGTAGACACATACAGTAAAATCATTTCAATTGATTTGGTATTACAGTAAACCCCTTTATAACACGGTACTCTTATAACGCATAATATGACGCGATTTCAGGCCCGCGTATAACAGGGTATGTCCCCCATATAACTGATTGTATGTATATATTTCGTTCATAATTTTTTTTTTTAATATTCTTAATACTCCTATAACGTAGGAACAAATCTACCGTGTTATTGGAAGGATAACTGTATTTACTATGTTGTTAGCTTAACAGATACATATCTACTGTATATAGTATGTATGATGTATATGTTAAGCCAGTGCTAAGTATACAAACAATACAAGTGTTAACGTTCATTAATACAATGATTGTAAATTTTTATGTCTGTAATTTTGCTGCCGATTCCAATCAACAAACATTATATAGAAATTTCAAAGATTATAGAGCACCGGTACAAAAGACCCAACCGGGATCTCGAGGTTACGACTAGGGCCGGATATAGAGAAAGGAACCGGGACTTCCACGAAAGACCCAATCAATAGAGACTTCGGAAAAAAAAGTTTTAATTTGCGACTAGTAAACAACTTTTCTTTTGATAAATTTGATATGTTTGTTAACAACTAAAATAATCTACTTGGTTTCAATAAATTATTAAAACAATAAATTATTGTTAGAAAACTCGCCTGAACTTTGAAACTTGTTCATTTTATTTGAAAAATTATTTTGGGGCGAAGGAGGCTCCACTCCTTTGTTGCCCGAGGTCTCCAGACCTCTAAATTCGGCCCTGGTTACACAGCACTACAGATATTAAGAGTACAATATCAAAATAGAAAATAGTCGTGACTGCTATTGAAATTTACAGAGTACCAAGTACTTGTTTCCTAAAAGAGATTTCACTAGTGGAATATACGAATAAGTGTGGAAGCCTAGTGGAAGGGGCAACGCAACAATTTATCTTACTTAGCGCTGTTAGGTTTCTATAAAATGTATAAAGGGAATGTATCCGTGCTTTAATCGCAAATTTTCACAAATAGCAATGAAATCTTTAATATAAAATTTGCTAAACATTTTATAGCCTTGCACTATGATAACAAGGCACTGCTACTCTTAAAACTCCATAAGCGGAAGATTTTATGTAGAAATAAATCATACAAAAATGGTTGTCTGTAAAGTCGGATTACGGACGATAGTTTAACGTGACAACGTCATAACAAAACATTGATGAAAGTAGGTATTGCTTAAGGCCCTATCCCAGCACGAATTGCTGTGTCAGTGTCTCGGGGTGGACTGCGGGTCGCAGTGGAGAGCTGGAGCACTGAGGCGCGCCGGCCCGAAGTAACAATTAGTTATGTAAAACATTAAATTAATATAATATTATCATGTTTTTAATGGATTACTTGGCTTGCGATAAAATTTATCGTGTAAATTTCAAAATTATATATACATTTTCGTCATAAAACGAATTCAAACTATCAAAAATTGGCTATGTTTGGATTTTTTCTATCAAGCGAAGTTATTTAAATCGTGTATCGATCTTTCAAAATGGATACATAAATTACTCTACTCCATCATATATTTTTTCCATTCGCCCTACTTCAAGAAATGATGACGAAAAATGGAAAGAAACAATGTACATTTTTGGGGTTTGGCGACGAGATCGGTCCTTAGGTCGAGTGGAAGAGAGATAGATGCGGCGCAAGCGTACAATGAGCGTAATGGGACAATGAGTCATACTTTTCGTGCGTGCAGCCGGCGTTCATCGATTTATCAGACGTTGTCACGTCAAAAAAACAAAATAAAAACAAAATAATCGAAAAATAATTTTTATTTAACATAATAAAATCCATTACCACCAACAATAAAATATACATAATTTGTGATCGAATAAAAAAATAACATACAAAAATATGGAAATTATTTCGGCGGTTCAAAATATAATGATTTAATACTTAAAATACCCAAGAATACGATGACAAATGGATGAAGCAGTTCCGGTTTCTGAAAAGGTTATTATACATTCACAATAATAAAGTCAAAATAATTAGTAACTAAACAATATTTTTACTGAACATTACAGATACAAAACATTTTCAACCAATTAAGATTATTATTTTTGATATATAACGGGTCAAACGGGCGGGAGGCTCATCTGATGTTAAGTGATGTCCGCCGCCCAAGGACACTCACATTGTCGGAAAACTCGCAATGGCGGTTAACAATTGGTACGCTCGTGAAGGACCCTAAGTATTAAAAACCTTTAAA